TCCGGCGGAGGGGGAGCCCTCGGCGAGCGTCTACCTTCATCAGGCTCCCGTATGAGGATGCCCCCGGTAGGCCTCATCCCCATCTGAAACTGCCGAGGCCCCAGCACGGCCAACCTCCTCCTTCTCTTTGCTAAGGGCTGCTCGTCCATTTCTTCAGATTCTGACGAAGATGGATCTTCAGAATGAGCAGGCGCCTTTCCTTCTCTTCTTCCGCTCCCTTCCTCAGACTACAGAAAGGGGGGGCAGCAAAGTATGAGTAAAAAAAAAAAAAAAAAAAAAGTCAGGAACTTACTAGAACCCTCGGCTGAACTCCAGGTGCAGGGATATCCCCCTCAGCAGCACCAGACGTCCCAACACCTCCTTCCAAGGAATTGATTACTCGGGACACGTCAGCTGCTGTCTGAGCAGCCTGTGCTTCCTCAGGTAATAAAGGCCGAAGGGGATCTCGCTTCTCCCACCAAGGCTTCTGCTTGGTGTATTCGGCAGCGGCTTCAATTTGAAGACCCGTTTCGTGCAAATGCAGCGGACGGTTCTTCGGAGCTGTGATTGCCGGAGCCCGGTCTAGAATGACCCTTTCAGCGTTCACCCCGAGCCGGTTATAATCAATTCCCGAGGTAGCTTCGCTCAGCTCTGAAAAGAACAGACGAAGGTTAAACTAAGGGAATAAGCATCAAAGACAAATCAAAATTGACTAAGTTAAAGTCCTCGGCCCCAGCCGAACATACTTACCACCCCTGTACTTTCGGCTGAGGCCGACAACTGCCAACATCTTCTCTTGGAAGATGTAATGGTTATCCGGAAGCCATCTGGCCGGGAGAGTTCTCATTCGGCCAACTCCCCCGGGGTTATTCTGCTTCCCGAAGAAGCTCATTTGCTCATAACTCGGGTGGCTAGTGGCATCAGGGTCCTCAGGACCCAAGTCTTGCATGTTCGGATCAGGCCTGGAGAGGTATCGAGGAACCCCGAAAAAATATGGATGCTCCGGATCGGCGGGAACTCTCACCCAGACCCATTGACCCCTCCAATCCTTATCTGAGGAGTCGTTCGACCACATAGTCAGATATTGGGGGCGACTCTCTATTCGTCACCAGCCTGAAGACCCGTGTTGGCCGTACACGCTCTGGAGGTTCTGCACTAGCTGATGCATCTTTCGAAAGCAGTGCAAATTCGGTTCAACAGCAAAAAACCGACACACCCAGAGATAAGTCATCACCCGCCGAATGCTAACGGGTGTTAATTGGCACAGGGAGATCCTGTACTTTATTAAAATGTCCCTGACGTAGGGATCCAAAGGAAACCGAATGAACGAAAGATAATTATTTCTCTGAAAATATGAGTTAGCAAAAAAAAATGGTGCAGATAAAGAAAAACGAAATAAAGGATGACAAATCTAAGCATTTTCACTCTCAAAAAAGGTGAATCAATCAGCTTTCATACAATACATATAATAAAGTACAAACTTGACTACTACATTGTATTTAAATTGGCTGCACATAAAACAATAGTTACAATGAAGCATACATTACTGATCAAAAAATAAAGCACACAATTGTGAATTTGTGATGACCCGTGATGTAGGCATGTAAACCGAATCCTTGCAGACAGGTAACAAAGTATACAACTGCAAAACAACTATGTATGGTACGCGAGTTTCAGACTTCAACGCATGTTTTAAGATCATCAGACATTGCAGAAGGAATGCCGTGTGTCGCCAGAATATCTGCAGTAGCAGCTTTAGCAGCCTCAGTCCGAATAATAACTATCTGCCATAAGAAACAAAACAATCAATTGCAAACTGCGTTCAGTTGTGATGCCTCCCAATTCCCAAATGTGTCCATGCTTATATTTATAATCACATATGTAATGCTAGAGAGAGCTTATAAAAGAGAGAAAACAGACCACGTTGAAAATTAGATCAAACTTCAGATATTCATCATTGCAGGACTCCACCATATTTACCAAGCTTTTTAAGTTCTTCACAGGGTTACCATTGACCGCAAGAACCTAACAGGAAAGCAGCAAAAAAATGTTGCATTGATAAGCCAAGTTTCAGAGAGGAATGAAATCAGCACAAGCTCACAGCTGAAGAATGTGGCAGAGGGAGGAAAATCACAGGAACAATTTGCTTAGACATACAGTTAATATTATAAATTTAACCGTTGAACTATACATACTCCGTATATAATATGTGTCTTTTAATGCAAACAAAATAAGTCATGCATGGTATTTTCACTCATGTTGTGTGAAATTTAAAAGGAAGTTGAGACAAAAGTTATATAATGACCCAATATATGAATTATAATTATTAATCGGGAGATTGAAATATTTTACTACTACATGCTAGTATGCTACATAAACTGTTAGCAATTGAACAAAACAAATTATCTCATGAAGGTCATAGCTATGTAGTCCTTTACGGCTTTACTTATCTGGAGTATAATTGTTCCTAGGTTAAAAGAATATTGCATAGATCAATAAGTGTGTAAAGGAATTGAGGCAAATCTGGCATTGACCATTGAATTTTACATTTCAAGGATTCCATTAAGGAGGATGACTTTTCTTTGTTTTTATTTTTCCTTTCTTTCGGCAATCTAGAATTTTATTGGTGGAGATCATTATTTAATTGAATAAACTTTTTTTCACTTCATACTTCAACAAAGAAGTTTATGCAAATTAAACTTGTAGGTCAATGTATTAAATTTGATGGAAGTGTTTGCTCACCATAACAAGATAACTATATAATTATAAATAAAAAAATATCAAAAAAAGAAAAATCGGAAATTTCATCTACAATACTGTCATCAGTATATTTCTCTATCTTAAGGACCTGTTCTCTTTAAGCTTAATTTCAATTCAATTCAGTTCCTAATTTCCTTTTCTAATAAACAATTCAGTTCAATAAATCAGAACAGACCCTTAATATATCACCAAATGGAAAAGAGAGAGAGAAAAAAAAAAAAAATCACTTCAATAAAACGACATGAGCCATTGATCGCGGTTTAGACAAGTTCAACATAAATTTCTTCCTCAGATTTCTGACAAGTTCAAAATTTATAGTCCTAACCACCTAGATATTTAAGCTGTCCAAATTTTAAATTGATTTAATACTAGTTAGATCTTATAAGAAAAGTCAATTATATTGGTCGTGTCAACATGGAGCATGAGTTTGATTGTTTGAACACCTCAAGTTAACATTTCCACAGCTGTATTTGTGCATGTCCTTACTTTGACATTAATCAATTGTTCTCGGTTTACTACTCAACAAATCACCGGGTTTTACATTATAGCCCTTAATTAGTTACTCCGTAATTATTAATTCTTCAATGGCTTTTCATAACGTATTGACCTTTATTTATACTTGTGTAATCTTCCCTTAAAAAAAAAAAATACTCGTATAGTCTTATTACAAATTAAAATTGATTTTTACTGATTCATTACGGAATAATGGAATATACTTTTCGTATTTGAGTTAGTTAAACTTGATATGTAATGGTTTAAGAAGATGTGTACAAAGTATATACATAGGTTCTTACTATTTTTGTATGTGAAAGTTGGGGTGCTGAGTACAAATTGAAATATGTCATTTAATTTTTGCCAAAACTTATTAAAAATATTTTGAACATAAAAATTAATTTTACACCCTTTAATTACTCTAAATAATTATGTGTGTCGTCAATTCGTCATTCCAAATCGCATAATAGTAAAAACTACTTCACATAATTTAAATTGACTTTAATTTTATGCATAATATATATAATTTTGCATGACTAAATTATACATAAAGCATATGATAACTTGATTACCCGACTTTACCAATAGGAATTGAATCACTAATTAAACTAAATGTGAAAAATACAAATCCCTTACAATTTCAAATGTAACAAGGTGACTTGAAACGTTGGGCAACTCAAATTGAAGGAAAGTCTTGTGCGTAGCATATGTTCAACCTCCCCTTAAAGTGCATTGGCTCAAGTCACATTCATAGACATAATATAAGCCAATAGACATGTTCACATCAATCATCACGTTATTGGTATGAAATGGTGAAACTCATCTGTCAATCCACTCTTCGAGTCTTCGATCTACACTTTGTCATTAACTGATGTGTGATAGTCATGTATAACCGACGTTTTTTTTATTCCTATTTAAAGTTTCACAATTTCGTGAAGAACAACTAGCTACTTCTTGCTTCTTAATCAAAGGTTCCTTAGCATCCCAACCAAAAATTTAAGAAATTTCTAGTTTAAACTAGTTAAGTTTGATCCAAAAAATTAAGAACTCCATCTACAAACTCTACCAATCAATATGAAGTTATCCGGCCGATGGAATTGTTGACGGGTCCATATCGCAAATTTTGACATATAGATTTGCAGTTGTGTTGTTAAGACGGGTAACTTTAATCTAACGATCTAAATTAGCAAAATATGTTCCAAAACTATCAAAAATGAATCCTCATCATATTCATTACGCACCTTCTTCAAAAAAATTCCACATCAATGATTTATACTATGTGTTAACTCTATCAATTTAGGTAAACACGTAAAGTTACTCAAAATGAAAGTAAAGTAAAACAAGATTTCCAAAATCGATCTATAAAGGTAGAATTGTTGAAAAGAGAACTTTGCACTCTTTATTATGAAGTACTTCCCCTATTGCAATATACATACCATGCAATCTAATAAAATTTATAAATCTATCACGCGTTTCAACAATCATATAAAGTTTTGGTTGAGTTAGTCATTTAATATGGTATTAAGAGTCAGTATGACACAAAGGGGTTCAAATTTCATACATTTCTACGTTCACATAGAATATTTCCAAGTATAAAAAGGGCACATGCCATATCCACACTTTAAACTCTCATGCAAAGAAGCATGATAGTCGTGATAGAGTATATAAATCGATTATAAACTTCAAATATCATAAATAGCATTAAACAATGCCAGCGATCGGTCATTCGGTCAATCATATCGTAAATTCTCAACAGAGTAGCAACACAAGAATACAACTATACAAATACAGAAATACAGAGTACGAGTACAATACACTGCCTGATAGAGTATATAAATCGATTATAAACTTCAAATATCATAAATAGCATTAAACAATACCAGCGATCGGTCATTCGGTCAATCATATCGTAAATTCTCAACAGAGTAGCAACACAAGAATACAACTATACAAATACAGAAATACAGAGTACGAGTACAATACACTGAAATACGTAGCATAGAATAGTGTATTTTGTAAACAAGATCCCTAAAAATAAAAAAATAAGAGACGTGTCGACCAATATAGCAGGCCACAAGAACCCGTTGAAAAAACGCCATAAATCCCGTACTCTTCACATTTACACCCACTTCAATCCTAGCCGTTAGATCCCCACTGCCTCACCCGCACTTCCTTCTTTGTCCACCTCTTAATTATTAATCTACCCCTATTAAACCCTCTAATTTCCTAATCATACCCTTACCCCAATTTTCTATATAACCAACCCTTTCATCTCTTATTACGCAGTTTGCCAAACCATCTCCCCACCTCGGGGCCCTAAAATTCCCAAAATACCCTTCCCTCCATTTTTCTCTCGACTCTTCTTCTTCTTCAAGCTTTTCATCAATGGCGGCTTCTTCAAAATCACGCTCTAATGCTCCAGTTCTCCCTGTAACTTTTCCTTCCTTTCAACGTTCACTTTCACCTCCTCGTAGATTTTCTCACTCTTCCTCAAAATCATCTTTGCCGTCGTCATCTCAACCGTCCGATCCGTTTTCCTTTTCATCTCTACCGTCGAATTTTGCGTCATCGTCGTCTTCCTCACCTCTTTCATCGTCGTTGTTCCATCGGTCGTCGTCTCCGACGAGAGTTAATCTCTCTTCGACGAGTACTGCGCCGTTTCGTATCTCCCTCAGCCACCGCTCTCACTCTCCGAACTCGCGCGTTTCGGTGCGCGATCAAGTCGTTTCGAAACCTGCCAGTATAAAGAGGACGTGTATGTGTTCGCCGACGAATCATCCTGGTTCGTTTCGATGTTCTATGCATCGAAACGCTGCTCGAAACGGCGATTCTCACTCGGTTTCTTGCTCGCCAAGTAGACTGAATCTTCGGCGATCTGCGATGACGAACTCGCTTGTGAGAATCGGTACCGTTGAAGGTGATTGGGTGAAACGTGCTTTAACGGCTCTGATTCGTCCGTCATCTCATCAACAAAAAAGGAGATTCGATTTCCAGCGTCGTCCTAGTCGTCTTCGTTTCATGTCGAAATCTGGTAATGGTGATTACGATGTTCGTTGATTTGGTTTCAAAAGGTTGGTTGAAATTTGAAATTGAATTTTTCCGCCATTTTTGCCGAGTTTCTGCTCCAATTTGCAAAGATCTGGTGGTGATCATGGAGGAAGATGATGGATTCTGGACTAAATCTGGAGATTTTGGTTTGAATGTTTGATTATTGGATGAACAATTTGGACATTGTAGCTTGTACATAATCAGTGGACCTACAAAAAAAAAAAAAAAAAAAAAAAAAAAATCTATAGATAATTTAAATCTAATTAATCGATTTTAAGCATTAATTAGATTTAATACAAGTAGAATTTCTATGTTCTGATCAATTTTGAGGTTTTTTTTTTTTTTGATTGAATTTGAATCGATCTTTTCGTTTGTGTTTTTGTTGATCGGCGCGTATTGAGTGTGCGTGTGTTTTGTGTGCAGTCGTTGAGGTTGGACGTATCCGTTACGTTCGCCATTAAAAATTGGAGGCAAATTCCGTTTGTCGACGTATATTCCGTTCAGTTTATTCGCCGTTGATTTGGTCTCGCCGTCATTTTTATACGTTGCCTCCATTATCAGGTACTCTTTTTTTTTTTTTAATTATTATTATTATTTATTTCTTTTTAACTGTATTATTTGACCCCATTTTTACTGCTTACATTAATTTCATAATTTACCTCTTTTGGTTACATGTGGCAGAACTTCAGATGAAAATTGGATCTTGTAGCCCTCAACTGCTCAAGTGTCACTGTATCAATCTTCATGTCTAAATGTTGTTCCTACTTTAACTTAAATCCGGCTTTTTCCTTTGACTTTTGGACTACGGACTAGTAAATTTTAAGTGTAAAGGTCAAGGTTTGATGACTAATGAAAAATGGCATAAATTATTTGTAAAAATAATTAAAATGGTTAAAAGACGTTTTTTGAACTGGTATATAATAATGGAAAAACACTTTTAAAAATGATGGTGAAGTGGTTTACTAAGAATGGTTCTAGAAGAGATGGGGTAAAAAGAAAAAGAGGATGGACAAATTGAACACAAGTGCGGAGAATACCTTTGCGTGGAAGAGGAAGATGGAAGAATACGGAGAATATGCTAACTTTACCAAAAAAATAAACGAAGATTACGCGTTAAGGAAGAGTAAACGAAGGAAACATTACACAAATATCATGACCTTTTAATGAGGGATTTGATTCTTGTTATTTGAATGGACTAGTGGTGGGAGTCTGGGAGATTGGGTACTCTTCAACTTGTGGACTTGCTTCATTTGGCTCACTTGTTTAATTTGATATCAACGATAAATTAATAACTAATACGAAAGCCATATAGAAAAGGACTTACTTTGCATCAAAAAATATATAGAAAAAGTCCTACAAATAAACGCTTTAGCACTATATTGAATTGTTGATGTATTGCTAATTATGGAGTAAATCTTAGTTTTTATATGACAATCCAATAAACATAATAATAATATTTAATAGGACAAACAATTATGTTGTTTAATCATTCGAGTATGTGTATATTAATTGAAGTGAATCGGGTAGATTATCACATTCACAAGCTCACAATCTTTACATGACCTAAAATTGACCCAATTTACTAAAATAATTCTCTTCATCAGATATTTTTTGAACTTAATTTAATTTTGCTTAACTTAAATTGTATTTACCAAAATCAAACTAGTTGTACATACCATACCTTAAATAATTTTTACCTTGATTTGATTATTTTAACTGGTTCTCTGATAACTAGTTGTACATACCTTAAATATATATATTCGTATGACATCTGATAATATTAACAATGTAACATGGAATTTTATTTTGATTGATCAGTGGATGCAACTATAATGACAATATGAGACTATGATGTGATCATTTGGTTGGATTACAAATACACAAAAATTTGTTCACACTTTAAAGCAGAAAACTATAAAGCTATTTAGTATTTACAGTAGTTGAGAAAACAATGCAGCAAGCAATGAATGGAATTGTTCATATATTCCTCAGCTCCTATATCTAACTTCCAATTTGCTTAAGATTTAGGAAGCTGTGTTTGGTTCAACAAGAGTTTTAAGAAGATTATGAACTCATAAAACTGCGGGTTAGATTAGCGGGCCTAGCACTACTATAATAACGTTCATATTTAAAGACAAGTCTTTTAACATATGCTTGATTACAAGCTCAAATGTACTTGATTATAAACAAATTAAATTTATAGATGTTGATGTTAACTTCGCTACTATGTCATTATTATTGTTTATATGTTTACTTGCATGGTATTTCATCTTTATTTCAACGTTTTTCGAATATCAAATAAAATCAGGCAATCATCCTAACGCTAACGCTAACACAACCGCCCCCCTAAGAGCCATCTTCTTTTATTTCTTTAATACACCACACCACCTACACCAAGGTCACCAACATACACATGCATCCTCATAGTCAAATGCCTCAAGTCAATTACCATCACCATCAAGCTAGAGAACTACAAAGTACAACTGTATTCTAGCTCCATGTTATTAACATATTAGCTACTTATAATATAATAATTATATAAATCCTACATTATATTTGTGTTATACGTACGGACCTGTTCTCATACGTTGAAATTCAGTTCAGTTCAGTTCCTAATTTTCTTCTCTTATAAAATATTCAGTTTAGTTCAGTTCAGTTCAGCCGCGCGAGTTCAGTCAATGAGAATAGACCCGTAGTATATACAAAATTTCGTCTCTTATTTTTTTTTTACCAAGAGCTTAAAATCAAAGCAATGATCCATCAATGGAGGAGTCATTCCAAATATCATGACTACACTAATATTTTGCTAAAGTCAGTAAAGTCAATATATGCGCTCCCCCCACGGATTTGACTTTCTTTCATCTAAGGAAATGTATTATGAAACTCATGCTTTAAATATACTTTAGTTTTTTTAAGTACATGTCAAAAGAAGATCCTAAAGCTAATATAAGGTTGGTGTATCAACCTTTGTATTGGAGTTCAAAATTTCTAACTAACTATAAACTTCTAGCTTTATTTTCATCATTTGAATTTTAAAATTCTAACGTTTAATTTTGAAGAAGAAAGAAAAAAAGAATGACTTGTAATGGTTTTAATATATTATTTGAAATTCATCATTGATATATACTTGAAGTAGTTAATTATTAACTTATGTACATGTGGCTTAACTTTAGAGTGGTGGCTAATTAATTGGCCATTCAAGCTCTACAAAGGCAAAGGGTGCTATTTATCAAAAAGAGAAGAAAAAGGCAAAGGGTGCTAATTTCTCGTCAAATGCAAGAAATGTTCAACTAAAAAGGTGATTATATTCAATGACAAATTTGGTATGAGAAAGAATTAATTACAATATTTTAATGTGAAATCAGAAGTACTATAAGCGACTCTTTACTATTTTATATACAATAAATAAGTATTTTATTGATTTGACTCATCAAAAATCATAATTGTTGTTCAACGTACAAATTGCAATCCTGAAATCCCTTTCCCCTCTTTGATTGTTGGATTGACATGAAAGTTATGAAGTCCTAAGCATCATGTATGGAGTAGGAGCGAGGGTCATTACTCATTAGCGTGTTGTGTGCTAACTCGAAAAAAAGAAAGTGTTAACCACTTGCCTTAAAGGAGTTAAAGCTACGTGACTACGTGATACTTCGGGAGTAGGGTATTTTATGTTGCCGTACTCTAAGTGATGAGGTGGAGTTATGGTGGTTGAGAAGTCAATGTTTGTTTGTTCATGGTGAAAACCCTACTTTGAATTCCTTCATAAATAAGGTAAGAAATGTAAGGCAATTGAGCTCCTTCAATTTGTGATTTGGGCTTCTAAGGTCCTTAGCTTGCGGATCATATACAGTGGCGGATCCAGGAATTCTAACTAAGGGTAGCACTAGACAATTAAATTAACAATATAATGGCGTTGTAACGTAATATAATCCGCCAACAAAGTACGTTAAATTTTGAATATAATGCGTTGTGTAGTCATACAATAATTAACAATTAAATTCAAACATTTATATTGACAAGGTTATTATTTTTTTTAAAGCATGTTATTTTTTTTACAAATAATTTATATTCTAGATATCAATTATACTATGACAAATTTTCCACCTATTTATTTTTTTTTATTTTTTAAGTCAAAGTTGCTTATGAATTTATATGGAAAACTTTGGCATAAATTTTTCCTATGCACGTATGCTAATGTAAAATTTTGACTGAAAATATCTTTAAAAATAAAATTATAACAATTGAATATTAATAAATTTTTCGTTGAGACAATACTAACAAGTACTCACGTTCTATATTTATTCTGATGTATAAATCACAAACATTAGTCAAAGTGAATTAGATTACTTGTGTAAAAAGTCAAAACATTTCATTTACTTAAACACAGATGGAGACATCATAGAGTATGGTTTTTTTTATATTCATTTTAGTGTAAATTTTCATACTAATATATAAACAAGATAAAATAGTGGCCAAATAATTGCAATAAATATCATGTAATGAAAATAAGAAGAATGTCATTGAATATAACGGAGAGAGTATTTCATATTATTATGAGGATTGTTTATAAAAGGTGTGAAAATGGAAAAAGAAATTTATCTTGGAAAGATAGTAATAGGTAAACATGGGCAACGGGCCATGTCGTGCCGCCGCGGGCCGTGCCGCGGTGGGGGCCGTGCTATGTCGTGCCTGAAATTGGCACACCCCAGCCTACGTGCCTTGCGGGCCGTGCCGTGTCGGGCCGCGGGCCAAATCGTGCCACCCTTTTTAAATTTTTTTTTATTAAATGAAAAAAAAAACGAATTAAACGATATATATATATATATTTTTAGTACAACTTAATATATGTGATTAATTTATGTTTATGTTAATGTTAATATAATTTGTTTACATTTTTTGAACAACTTTAATTTAGGTTATATAAATTATTTATCTAATTAATAATTATGTTTAAGTTTATATAAACAAATAAAAACAATTTTATTAATTTAGCAAAAAATAACAATGCATATAATAAAAAAAAATACGAGTGCGATAATCCGAAAACACAAAAAATTGAAGAATAACTTATTTTATTATATGACGGTAGCCGGTACGATAATTTAATAATACAAAATAATTAAATTATTTTATTATATGGCGGGCTCGTGTCGTGCCGTGCCGTGCCCGACCGTGCCTCGTGCCGTGCCGGCGGGTCGTCCCAGCGTGCCAGCCCACGTGCCGGCCACCGTGCCGCCCGCCGTGCTACGTGTCGTGCCCGTGTCGATTTTAAAAAAAGTGTTCACGGCACGGCCTTCGGCCCACAGGTGGGCCGCCGTGCCGGCCCTTGCCCATGTTTAGTAATAGGTAATAGCTTATCATTGTGTTGACGGAAGTAGAAATTCATTTGGGTTTAAAAAAAAAAAAAAAAAAAACCAGCAACAACAACAACTAAGGGGGTCTCGTTGAAGTTAGTTAATATATATACGGATTATAATCTTTATATAAATATCAAGGTAGTTTTTTTCAGAAAAAAAAAACAGTTTTTTTTTTTTTTTTTTTTTTTTGTAGGGGTAGCACGTGCCCCCCAGGCGTCAACGTGGATCCGCCTCTGATCATATATGCGGTTATCATCTGTTAATACAAAATTAAGATATTATTTGTCATAGGACTCATAATAACTCATGAGTGTGCAATTGAGAAAATGTTAATGCATATATACATACTTTTTTGGACACAAATGTTAATGTATATAAGAAGCTATTTTAACTAAAGAAAGGAGTAATAATATAGAATGATTAAGCATCAATATTTGGCAAGACTTGGACTTAATGTAATCATGTAATGTAGTTGATGATTTTGATGTGTTTGCTTTAGATTATCTTTACCATAGTCGTGGTGTCTCCATAGTTCATGGTAACCCCATCAGGCAAACATCATATTTAATGATAGACTTTTTAATTGACATGTGATAGATGGCGACTTATTGGCGTTGCCAAGTTTATCACTAAAAGCCATCAACAACTCACTTAAAAATAAATCTGATCAAACTTATACAACAGTTAAAGGAATTGTGAACTATCAATTACACATGTTTAAATAAATATACACAAAGTATTAGCTTCTCTATAAAGGTGTGTTCTATTAATTTGACTTTCAGATGTCCAATAGATCCTAAATTAGAAAAACATAAGAATCGATCCACGATGTCAATCGAAAAGAATCTCTAACTACCTTAGGGCTTGTTCTTTTCAACTTAATTTCAGTTAAGTTCCCCTAATTTCCTTCTCTCATAAACAATTCATTTCAGTTTAGTTTAGTTTAATTCAGTTAAGCTCCAATCAGATCAGTTCAGCCTACTTCAGTAAATCAGAACATGCCCTTAGTTATCTTCAGACTTATGAGTAACCAGTACTTGTATTATTTTTTTATATTTATCCTCACTATCTAATCCAAAAGAACATATGATTAACTTTTTAATTCCAACACTTTTATATTTTGGATATTATTGATTAGTTGCAACACTTTCTATTTTTGACATTTTTTACTCTTAATCTCTTTTCTACCCACATAAGTCCCTCTATTGCTCAAGAGACAGAAAAATAACAAAGTTGTAACTTAAAAAAAGGGAGAAAATATGGAGTATTTTTATTTTAACGGGGTGCACCACGAATACTTTACCGTTTACACCTACCGTGCAAGTGGTTTTTGGCTCACAGAATCACAGTTGCAATTTTACAAATTTCTGTGGTCTAATAGTCAACCTCTCAATAAATATACTCCTACCCAGAAAACTCCAACCCATTTCATCAATTCATCTTCATTTTCCTCTAAATCAACCACCTCCCACCGATCAATCGCCATTATCGCAACCTTCATCAAACATCAACAATGTCTTCCTCTTCAATTCTACGAACATCAAAACCATCAATTCATCTTCTATCTTCAGCTCAACGTCTCCCTGTTCGCCACCTCTCTTCCGCCGCAGCAAGTGGCGCAATCAAGGGGGACCCACAATCATCTTCCTCCCAATCCAACAACAAATCATGGGTTCTGAAATTGGTTTCTGGAATTGCAGTTGGATCAAGTTTGGGGGCTTTGTTTTACCCAATTTCGCCTAATCATAATGATGTTGTTGATAATGATAATAAAAATGTTAATTCTTCATTTCCATCATCTTTTTTTGATTATTTTAAAGGAAAATCAATGTTAGTTTTTGCTGATTGGTCATCTGCTCCCACAGAAGCTACTTCGATTTCTTATTTGGAATCTGCTCCTCGTTCTCTCTCCTTGAAGAATTCCAGATTTCTTTTTCCGGGTATGTTTTTTCTTTTTCTTTTTTTTTTCTTTTTGATTTTGAGGTTATGATTTACTCCTTATGAATTATGATGCATAAATTGCTTAATGTTTTATTTGGGATTGTTTATCTAGATTAGGTGAGAAATTCTAGGTTATTTGTTTTTTGTTGGTGTATAGGGAGTCGTAAAGGCAATGATGTAGATTGGATTCAACCCCGAGGTTTTGAATACCACCCTCGAGACTTTAACCGACTAAGGTAGTTGGTATCCACGTTGAATTGTAGGTTATTGTTTTGTTTTGTAGAATTTGGCTTGATGCTAGGTGAAATTGGCCTTGTTATGTTTGATATGTTATAGTGCAATATGGGTTACATAATAATGTGGATGTGTCATTTGTGATTGAATTGTGTAATTTGAATATGCAATATGCTCAATTGGGTATGATTTGCAACATGAATATCTTTGGAAAAGGAGAGAATACAATCTAATGGGGAAGATTCTGCGGTTGAACTGTGTTTGAATGCAAATTTGTTACTTTTGATTGCAATGTGGTATGCAAATTACTAATGTTGGTTGATCTAGGAAACTATGTTTGTGGTTTCAAGAACATTGCGAAAGATGTGCTAAAGAGTTGAACTTAAGAATATGCAATGCCCTGACTCCTGACAATAAGAGGAGGTGTATGAATTGGAACAACTGATCTATGGAACAGAGTTATAATGGATTTTGTTTTTGTTTACGCCTTTCTGTCTCTTTTATTGGCTTATCAGTCCGCTGCTTTGTTGGCCTCGCGATTGGTGTAAGGTGTGCTCTAATCAAATAGTCGAATATTTTTTACTAGCTAACATCGTGTAGTAATACACTTTGTGCTTTACTTCACCGCAATGCACATCCTCAGTATTATACATTTGAATTTGGCATTGGTATATGTTATTTAGCTCTACTAGAACCCTTTTGATAGCCTAGAACCCAAGCAAGATATAACCCCTTGCAAGGGCCTTGAGTTCAGCGTGAGTGCATTACAAGAACCAAATTTGGCTATGAAGACAGACTTTAAGTCTTTAACAACCCATCTTGGTCAGTAAGGCTTTTGGTAATTGCGGTAAATGTGTGTACTTGTTGGCTAACTCAATGTTATTGTTCTTGTATCCCACCTCTTGCAATTTCTGCTCCCTCATGTAGATTACTCATGGCGAAAAAATGAAATCTTTGCACACCATTTTCCTGCTCCACTTTCTTGTATGATATCTGAAACTAGGTTCAGTTCCTGTTTATGGTAAATCATAGCTGTTTAATTTTGTTGAGTAATTATAGTATAAAACTTGAATTTGATATTCTACCCTCGAAATGAAGATGGGCAAGGTTGTTCCAATTGGGTAATGGGTAGTACATTTTTTCCTGCTTGTATAGCAAAGTTATTGTTTGGGCGTCTGGGAATGGGTTGATTGGAGAACTCTTGTTTCTTGTACTTCAATGCCATTTTTATTTTGTGTCTGCAAGAGGAATTCACTGGACCTGCTTCTTAGAATGAGTAGCTTAAGCTGCAAATCAATTGTAGACAAAGGATCAAATTGCAAATCTAACTGCTTCATTGGAATTATATATATTTTTTTCAGAGCTGAACCTGAACAATTTGCACCTCCATTATTATATTTGGAAAATTCTTTTTCTATATCATTTTGTAATGAACTATCTTAAGGGAAGGGTAATACAGGTAGTTTAGTTGTTAATAGTGATCAAATGTAGTACATTAGAAGGGTAAATAGGCAATGTACTAAGAGATGCCACTTGTGCACATGAGACAAAAAAACTCAGTCTAGAATCATCCTAGGGAGGGAGAATGCAATTATAAGAAGGGAAGAAAGATATTGAGAAAGGAGGCAGAAATTGTATTAGGGAAACCTAGTGAGACTCATGGCCTCAAGCCATTGTTAGAGTTTGATAGCCTCAAGCTATTTAGAGAGTGGTAGCCTCAAGCTATTAACACTATCGGTTGTAATCCTTTCACCATTATCTATTAGTATCAAAGCTTCAATCGTTATTAATTTGCAAGTTAAAATCAGAAATTCTTGCTGTTATATTGGTATTGCTGTGTGACTGATCTCAGTTCATTACACATTTAATCAATGTTATTTTTTGGTAGCCTGACTTTGTAGTTTGTATAGTATATCGCAACTACAATAACAGCCTTTTATATCCTCCTCACAACGGCTTTCGAACTTTTTCCAACTACGGAACACACTCTCTTTAGGTGCATTTATTTTTCCGTGGGTTTGTGGAACTGCAATGAGTTTTCCATTATTGGATTACTGACACTATCTTCATTTTTTGTTTTTTGTTTTTTCTTTCAGTCTTAGCCTTACGCTTGGAACTGCAATGAGTTTTGCATTGTTCGATTACTGCCACTTTCTTCTTCTTCTTTTTTTAGGTTATGCTTGGCAATTTGATAGAATGTGTATTTGATAGCTAATACTAGAAATTCAAGGCTTTCTTACCCCATCAATAACAGCACTATCCCAATACCTATATAGTGGTGTTATGGACTGCCTTAGTATTTTCTGATTTAAAGACTAATTAAGAGATAAAAGCTTGATTAATAATGGCTGAAATTGGATACAAAAGGGATAGATTAATAGCTTAAGGCTATCACTCTCTTGATAACTTTAGGTTATCACTCTCCTAGTAACTTGAGGTTACTACTCTCAATTTTTTTCCTCACAATTCACATGCCATCCTACTGCATATACTACCCCTATTTATACTAAGGTCAAGTGACTACTAACCTAAAAGTACTAAGTTTCCCAAATTGCCCTCCCTAATGTTAATCTATTACAAGTGGTTCTTGTCCGGTGGGTCAGTTGTGAGTGTGTTAGGTACTCAGTCTCAGGTGTATGCAATCTTACCCCTGTAGAGTCTGTCTCCTTTCAAACTATGTCTACTTGTAGTATGCTATGTATGTGAGATACTTTGTCCACTTGAAATTTTGACACTGGACTGTTATGTCTTTTCATTAGACTTCTGTTGTTTCACCTAATGTATATTAACAATTTTATGGTGTCGTGATTCACGTAAATCTCAAGTAATTTTTTTAAGAACTTCAGAAGGCCAAATAATAGAAATTTGCACAAGTTACATTGTTGTCTTTGTCATTGATCAGCACACTTATGCACATCTGTAGTTTTTTCTTACTAGTTATGCAAATATTGTCTTTGTCGCTGATCAGCACACTTATGCACCTTTTTATTTTTTCTTACTAGTTATGCAAATATTGTTTTTGTCCTCATTGTAGCATTGTTGCTGTTTTTTTTTTTTTTTTTTTTTTTTTCCCCTAATTTAAAAAAAAAGTTCAATATGTTTAGTACCTTTGATGTTCATTAAGCTCCCTGTATATGTTTTTGTTTCTGGCAGATGCTTTTAGGAGGAAGGTCTTTTTCAAATATGAAAAACGTATACGAATGCGAAGTCCTCCAGAGAAGGTATCTATAAAAGCTTATGTGCTTCTATTTATTATAGTTACATTTTTTTGTAAGTTCGCTCTAATTTTATGTTCTTACTTTGCATATTGGACTCAAGAAGAAAGCCAAACTTCCAAATGTCCTAACATAGACTACATTGAATTACTTGGTAAAAATTGACAGACCCTTAATGGAAGCTTTCACTTCTGGTTAGTGATTTTGATGTTAGGAGATAGAAACATGGTTTTAAATCTTTTAAGCAGCTACTTGGGGTCTTTAAAGTAATGTGGTAAGCTATAATGTGTGCATGGGTGGCTTCTGTTGCTCCTTCTAAGTTAAATCTATGGTTGTTTATGCCTTCATAAAGGATTTAGTCATCGACCTTAGCTATTTCTTAATTTGCGATTGACATTATACAATATCCTGTACTTAGTCATTGAGGCCTCTTGCCCATATCAGGAACACTAATAATTGGTTGATTATAATTTTGAAGCTTTGACGAGACTAGCCAATGTCACTATCTAGCGTGTTCTGCACTTTAATAAATTCATTTTTCTTTGTGAAGGTATTTGAGTATTTTGCATCAGTTCAAAGACCTGAAGGAGAAATACTGATGACACCGGCAGATTTGATGCGAGCTGTTGTCCCTGTATTTCCCCCATCTGAATCAGGTCTGGTCCGAGATGGGTCTCTTTCAGGGGAGAGGTGTCCTGGCGAGCTAAGATGTCCTACTTCTGAGTTTTTTATGCTCTTTGACGTGAACAATGATGGGCTAATTTCTTTTAAAGAGTGAGTTGCTTGGTACTAGTCAATGTGTATGAATTCTCAGTAGGTTTTGTTTTATATCTATGTTGGAGAAGTTAGTTATCAGTCCATGTACTCTTTTTGTTGCCAATTCTTCAATTCAAGATGTGTACGAAGTGATCCGAGATGTCTTTGTTTCAGGTACATCTTTTTTGTCACCCTACTCAGCATCCCGGAATCAAGCTTCTCCGTGGCTTTCAAGATGTTTGATATTGATAAAAATGGGTGTGTATACGTCAGTTATTTTGCATGGCAATCTTCTATCATTTTTATTTTTTGTGCTGTCAAGCCTGTCATGGCCTTCACATATTTCTTCTGATTATAAAACTGTCCAGATCTCTTACAGTCTGTCTTATGCGTTTTCTTTACTTTGGAATTTAGAATATTTACTGTGTACATGTTTTGTTGTAGAGAAATTGACAGGGATGAATTCAAAAAAGTTATGGCTCTGATGAGAAATCAAAACAGGCAAGGATCTAGTCATTGTGATGGACTTAGACCTGGTTTTAAACTTGGAGGCTCTGTCGAAAATGGAGGCTTAGTTGAGTATTTCTTTGGTGAGAATGGTGAAATGCCATTACAATATGACAACTTTGTCCGATTCTTAAGAAAATTACATGACGAAGTAAGCTCATTGTCTATGAATCTGCATTTCTCCATTACATTTCTCTCTTTTTTTGAGTAATGAATTTGACCAATCATCATTTTTGCAGATTGTGAGATTAGAGTTTTCCCACTATGATTATAGATCACAAGGGACCATATCAGCCAAGGATTTTGCTCTCTCCATGGTTGCTTCTGCTGACATAAGGCATGTAAACAAGTTGCTTGAACGGGTTGATGAATTAGACAATGACCCACAACTTAAGAGTACACGCATTTCAGAAGACGAATTCCGCAAATTTGCAGAGCTGCGTACAAAACTTGAGCCTTTTGCTTTGGCCTTATTGGCTTATGGTAAAGTAAATGGTTTATTGACAAGAAAGGACTTTCAACGAGCTGCATCTCAGGTATTGCATTCCTGAATATTGTTGTTATTTTAAAGTTGGATTATTCGTAAAATTTTCATTGTTAGTTTTTGTGAACACAAATATAAATCCTAAAAAATTAGAAAATGTTCAATTAGTGAATATACAATGTCTTCTTTTGGAGCATAATGCACAAGATATGCCACAATATACATGTGCTGCCTGCAGTCTGGTTACGCTAAAATCATTACTAGTATTGCTAGAGAAAGATCAATTGCTAAGCTATCAAAGATCAATTGCTATGCTATCAAATATCAATTGCTAAGATATCTTTATTTGGCAATTGTTCTTTTGGGCCTCCTGCATCTTTGGTAATGTTGTGTTATGTTTGACACATTTTCTGGTGTAATGTAGCCTACCAGCATTAGATTAGTTGGAGATTTAGTGCTTTTTAGTACTGACTCTTGACTTAGATGAGGAATTTGTGAGTTAGGAGTCATGAAATTGAAGTCATCCTACTTTTAGTAGTATTGACTATTGCCAGTGTTCAAATACAACCCTCTATAGACCCTATTCATTGGCATGGATGCCAAACCCTCGTCTTCCAAATTACAACCGGCATAACAAAGAATAAATAGGAAACCTGTCAACTACTACTACCGAGCCATGACAAACTTGATTCATGGTTTTGATGCCCAAAGTGACATAATTGAGTATATATGTAACCTTTTTTCCTTTTTCCAGTTTTTGATGTTTTTTTTTGGGTCTGGGATTCCAGGTGTGTGGTGTTTGTCTCAATGACAATGTGGTGGAAATAATATTTCACGTTTTTGATGCAAACCGTGATGGGAATTTGTGTGCTGAAGAATTCCTGAGAGTTATGCATAGACGGGAGAGAGACATTGCCCAACCAACCGAGACAGGCATATTTGGCTTTTTGTCATGCTGCCGAAACTGTGCAAAGAGTTGTTCCTTCTCTCGGCTATTTTCCTGATTCGGAACTTAATTCTTGGGGAATACATAATGACGGTTTAGTTCCATGATATAGGAACCTGATGTAGCAAATTTGGAAGTTTGAAACTTTGAAGCTAGCCTCATTGATCTGTCTGACTGTTGAAAGAAAGTGGCAATAGTTAGTCGAGGGGCACAGTAAGCTGGAGAAGGCGGTCACCTCATCCTGTCTTCAACTACGGATCTAGAGTATAGATAAATAGACTGTATGCAGCTGTGAACTTGTAATCTGATGAAGTAATCATAGCTCCTGACGATACTAGACTACACCATCATAACTCAGGTGGTTGTAAATTTTGTTCATAGGAATACTAGTTATATTAAGATACTTCGTATATCTTGTTTCATGTATTTCCCTTACAATTGGGTTTTAGCAACCGACTGTTTTAACGTGTGAGCCATATAAGTTGATTGCTTTTATATAAATATGAAGTATATAGAACTATTATATTGTTTGGCATTTGTTATATTTCTGGGTATTTGTGGTTATAAAATCTTCCTTTATTCTCAAATAATCTGTCTCTAAAATTTTTCTGGGGTTTTTTTAGATAGATACAGAGGGACTAGTAAAATTAAGAGTACATTAAAAGTATAGGCAGGTTAAATTTACATTGTATTAGATTTTAAAGTTATTCCATTTATGCTCTATTTTTTTAGGGTTTTTATTTTTTAGAATGCCTTTAAAAACACCCCTGCTGAAATGACCAAAATATTTTAGATTAACAATGGAGTGTGTAATTAAATTGCTCAATTATATACATTTATACTAATCAATTTTATTTTTGAACAGTGAAATTATGGGCATTTTGATGATCCTTTTTTCCTTATCAATAATAGCTTGAATCGGTCTAATGTACAAAATAACTTTCTTTCATAGTTTGTCACACTTGCAAGATGAAGATGACATTGTCTTTCCTGTCAAAGTCCTTGTCTTTGTCTTTCTTAATGTTTAGTGGTCAACTTTCTCATTTAGTTGACCTAGTGTCTAGTGGTGCCAATGGTAAATTGGGTGTGTGCTACATAACTAAATTATTTATCTTAATATTTAGAACAAAAAAATATCTCAAATAAGATAAATTTAGACAAAATACTTTAGAATTACTCATACACTTGCAATTTCAGATAAAATAAGTCAAAATTAATTGAAAATAACCCATTTAGGGAATATGTTTATTTAAATTATATAATTAATTAATTATGCACTTAAATTTTAATGAATTTTAGCCAAGTGGAATTGATGACAAAACTATGAAACTACTCATACTACTTAAGGCCCCGTTCTTAGCTGCTCTGCTCTGCTTCAATCTGCTATACTAATAATAAGATCTGATCAGTTCGGCTCTGTTCTGTTCTGCTGAAATCTATTCTGCCCAGAAGCTCAAAAGAACAGGGCCGCAATAAAATGAAGTAGACCAAGTCAAAGGTTCAAAACTCAAGATGCTAAGAAACCTAATACTCTTGATTAATCCTTGGAAAACTTAATTAAAAAGAAAAAGCCAAGATCTTTCCAACATAAAGTGAGAACGACAGCATAAAATAATTAGGAAATGGGCAATACTTGAACAGGTAATCACGCAAAGGCTAATTGATAGAGACAGCTTGGTGTTTGGGTATCCTACTTTTTTGCCAAAAATTCTTCATATCCTTTGTGGTGGAGCTATGAGTTGGGCTATACCACCCACCAAATATGTCATAATAAAACCTTAGAAAATCAAAATATAAGACCATATATTATCTTCTTATGTCATAGGGTGGTGGGATTTCGTTAATTATATATACTCTCTTTTGTTAATTGACTGGCTGACTGCTATATTTGCGAATACATAAACGAATTGTTTATAACTTAAATCGTCTATATATAAAAAAAAAAAAAAAAAAAAAAAATTGCAAAACTATAACTTATGCAGAATCCAATGTCATTTAACCTAATTAAATTTGTCTTATAAAAAAATTTAGTCAATATTAGTATATTTCTTTATCTACTTCATGTCTTCATATAAATTATAAACAATGGTTTTAATCAAGTTTGTATATACTCCTTATTGTGAAAAGACAAAAGGTAAATAACTTAGAGAAAAACAGAGGTATAATATTAATTAATAATTATAATCCCTCCTTTTTATAAGGGTCATTAGTGATTTATAATGTCGGTACTAGTGGACCAAAATAATAAGGTTTAGCTGAAATTTGGATTTCAAACCCACACCAAACCCAAATACAACAAAAGTGTAGTATTTTTAATAAAATGTGGGGAAATTGTGTTGTAGTATTAGGCTGTAAGTTGCTTCCAATACTCTGGCTTCATCATTCATGGTTGTTTGCATGATTGGCGCGTGACACATCTTCTTACTTATTATAGCCAATGTTGTTTATTTAAGCTGTCATTTAAGATGCCAGTATATGCCACTTAAATTTCTAAACAATGACAGTAAAAACATTAGGAAATTTACAATGTATGTTGGAGTCTATCATTATAATCGGAATCGTTTTAGTAACTAACATTTAAAGTTGGGATTATTCACATAATATACCCAAATTTTTTTAACTTAAGGAATAGAGAGAATATAGGGGATTATAAGCTTTGCATGCATAATACTCCGTATAATGGTGAATGTAACATATGTTCACTTAAGAATTAGGGAGAATATAGGGAATTACGCACTATGCATGCTAATATAATGGTGAATGTGACATGCAACATACTCGTATAAGCATAGCTTGACAAAAGATAGAGAATCGGAAATTTGAGAGTAGCAATAGAAATTAGTCATATATCGAAGCAGTAAAAGGCATTAAATTAGTGATGTTGATGAAATTCAATTTAACCATTTTCGATAATCAAAGAGATGAAGTTTTCACACGCATTAACAATTCGCGTGGGTCCAACTGTTAAGTTTCGTTGACATTTCTTGTTGAAGGAAGAAAGAACCCTAAAACAGTGGCTTCAAGTTTTGGTCTTTTATTGCTCAAATAAATTAAATTCCCATTTCTTTATACTTTCTTCCTACCACCTAGATAGCAAAAATCTCATTTTTATTTGTTGTCTTAAACAAAAATAACTGTATTTTATTCACTTCATTGAATTCTTCTACTTCTCCTACCTTCTGCAAAACCGGTGGTGGCTGCTTCTCTGTTATCTCACTTGTAATTCTCTCTCCTCTTTTCCCTCCAAAAATCCCCTGTTTAATTACTTCCTGAAATCTGTTATTATAGCTTTGAGCTTCTGTTTATAGTTTCTATTGTTCTAATTGTTCATGTTTATTTAGCTCAAGCTTTAATTTTGTTGCTACTATTGTTTAATTTCTGCTATTTTTGGCAGTTTGAGATTCTGGGGTTTTGGGTATTTTCCCCAAAACTTGAAATTTCTGGTTTTTTTTGTGCATATTTGATTGATTTTGGGATTTGGGTTTTGATTAAAATCTTGATAAGGGTATTGGGTATTGCTTTAATTGTTGAATAATTTGTTTAGTGATGGGGAAGCCTATTGGTAAGAAGAAACCTGAAACCCCTAAGCAAGGGGGCTCGGCAGCGAAGCCGAGCAAGGGTTCTGATAGAAGCTCAAAAGCATTTGATGAAGATACAGCAATCTTCATTAATATGTCACAAGAGTTTAAGGAAGAGGGTAGCAAGTTGTATCAGAAACAAGATTATGAAGGGGCTATGTTGAAGTTTGAAAAGGCCCTTAAATTGCTTCCTAGTAATCATATAGATGTAGCTAATTTGAGAACAAATATGGCTGGTTGTTATATGCAAATGGGTTTAGGTGAATACCCGAGAGCGATTAATGAGTGTAATTTGGCATTAGAGGTTGCACCTAAGTATACCAAAGCTTTTTTAAGGAGGGCCAAGTGTTTTGAGGGTTTCAATAGGCTGGATTTGGCTTGGAGGGATGTGTGTATTGTGTTGAGTATGGAGCCTAATAACCAGACCGCGTTGGAGCTTAGTGATAGCCTGAAGAAGACCATGGAAGAGAGGGGTATTAAGCTGGATGAGAAGGAAATTGCTATTGCTATTGAACACACACTTTCCCCAAGTAGTACACCTTCTCGCAAGATTGCGAAAGAGAAGAAGTTGACCAAAGAGAAGTCGTCGAAGAAGAAGAGGAGGAGTATGAGAGGTGATGATGCTAAAGATGAGCATGTTGAGGTGAAGAAGGCAGAGGATGAGCCTAAACCTGAACAAGTTGTGGAGAAGAAGGTGCGACATAAGTCAATTGGTAAGCAATTTAAGGAGAAGAAGGTGCATGCTAGGTCAAAACGTGAACAGGTTGAGGAGGATGTGCCAAAGTCTGAGGATAAGGAGGTTGTTCAAGAGAAAGTTATGGTTAAGGAAGCAAAAGCTATTTCAAGGTCTGTCAAGTTAGTTTATGGTGATGATATAAGATACGCTCAATTACCTATCAACTGTAATGTGTTTTTGATGAGGGATGTTGTCCGTGACCGATTTCCGAATTTGGAGGGTTCTCTCGTGAAATATAGGGATTCAGAAGGTGATTTGGTCACTATAACTACTACAGAAGAATTGAGGAAAGCTGAAGGGTCTGGGGATTCACAAGGCTCTCTCAGGCTATACATTTCAGAAGTTAGCCCTGACCAAGAACCTACTTATGATGGTGAGGAAGTTTCTAAGGTTAAGGGGAATGCTGTAAAGAGTGAGCAATCAGAAATTTGTGACAGCGAAAAGGATACAACTTCTATTGACAGTTGGATTATCCAATTTGCTCAGCTCTTCAAAAACCATGCTGGGTTCGATTCGGATCCATACTTGGACCAGCATGAGATTGGAATGAAGATATATTCAGAGGCAATAGAAGACACTATTTCAAGTGAAGATGCACAAGAACTTTTTGACATCGCTTCTGATAAATTTCAAGAAATGGCAGCTTTGGCCTTGTTCAATATGGGCAATGTTCATATGTCCAAGGCAAGGAAGCAGGTATCTTTGTCAGAGGATCCTTCTGGTGAATCAATGCTGTCACAGATAAAATCAGCCTTTGAGTGGGCAAAGAAGGAGTACACAAAGGCCTGCTCGAAATACGAAGAAGCTCTTAAGATAAAACCCGATTTCTACGAAGGTCACCTTGCCCTTGGGCAGCAGCAGTTTGAACTAGCTAAGCTTTGCTGGCATTATGCTCAAAGGGACTTGGTTGATCTTGAGTCCGGTGCAACTCAGGAGATTCTTCTTCTTTATAATAAAGCTGAGGACAGCATGGAAGCAGGCATGCAGATATGGGAGGAAATGGAGGAGCGACGTTTGAATGGACTTTCCAAGGAAGAAAAGTACAAGGCTAAGCTGCAGAAATTGGGATTGGATGGTTTGCTGAGAGATTTATCTGCTGATGAAGCTAAAGAACAGGCTTCAATTTTAAGATCACAAATATACATTCTATGGGGCACATTGCTGTACGAGCGCTCTATTGTCGAGTTCAAGTTGGGTTTACCATCTTGGGAGGAATGTTTAGAGGTTGCAGTTGAGAAGTTTGAACTTGCTGGCGCTTCTCATACAGATATAACGGTTATGTTAAAGAACCATTGCTCGAACCAAGCTGCACCAGCAGGTATATACTTCTTGAATATATTTGCTCCTTGATTAACTGCATCTTATTTTACTTTATTTCTATGATTTGTAATAACAATAGCTTTTATTTTGAACATGAAGACTTACGCTATAATTATATTTTTGCTATGACTGTAGGTCTGGAGTTCAAAATTGATGAAATTGTTCAGGCATGGAATGAGATGTATGATGCAAAACGGTGGCAGCTTGGAGTTCCATCTAACAGATTGGAGCCATTGTTTCGCCGGCGAGTTCCTAAAATCCATCACATCTTGGAGCATCTTTGAGTGTGTTGGTAAAGATCTGCCATGTTTGGATATGGCAAAGTAGGTCAGCATGGCATCCCATTGCTGACTGCTGTTACTTAGTAGAATAGGTAACAACTCAACTGTTTTTTTTTCTCCCCTATTGAACTTCCCCTGTTCCCATTTTCAACTTGCCATGTTTGTTACTTTCGTTCACCAAGGATGTTAAACTATTTTTTTTTTTTTTTTTTGTTTTTAAATTGTAACTTTAAGAAATTGTTTGATGATGTAAGTTGATTGATGGCGCTTTTGATATCGAATCATAACACTTTCACGTATAGTTGATTGTACTACATTTGGACTATCCAGTTCCGTAAATTTTTTTCATTTAAAATGCTCTTTTCTACATGACTCCCGTACTGACTATATATGCTTTACTGATGTGCAATTTGGTTTTGTTCAATATTGTCACACGACTGTCATTGTAGGTTTTTATTCTGAAGGAGCGGGACAATAATGTTGATGTCCATGGCTTTTTGGCTTATTAGCGTATACAAGCGTCTGTCATAGCATTGGTGTTGTAATTGGAGTGTGGTCGAGCTGCGGTGCCAGTTCATTTTCTTCAAAAGCTTGCTGTTTCCCCACAGGACTACAGATTACAGAAGAGTTTCACAGATATTTTTTTTTGTGCTTTATAGATGATTTGTTGCCTTATTTGCATATTACCAAGATTGTAATTTGTAAAGTTGTTCATGAAAGATTTGCATATAGGATATTGGCAGTGGTTTTGGTGTTATTCTTTGTCATTCATTGTCATATTGCTGGTTTTACATAGCAATTACAGATGATCCGTTAATTGTATTGCAACAATGTATAAGTGAAAGGGTTCCACTTAATGTTATGCTATTTATTTGATATTTTATGATTTCAATTAGATCATTAGATTCGGCTCGGATTAAGATTCATTCTCGATTCCATATTAGGTGGATAGGTCTCATGAGGTCTAGTTCGGCTCATTCCAAGATCAACTTTAACCCTAGGCACCTTCATTTATTAAGAAAAGGAAAAACTTTCTAGTGCTTAAGATTAGCTATGATAGAAGTTATAGAACTGACTCGAATCAAATTAGCTAATGGTACACAAAATATATTCATAATTGTCACAAACTATATTCCTAGTGCTTAGTTGTTTTCTTTAAATTTTGTTTTTATAATAACTTTAGACTTTTATTTAATTCCACCTTTTCTTGTTTTCCTCGATTGTATTATCTCATTTGCGATTTCTAAATCTACTATGTTTTCTTTAACTAAACTTTACCAAACTTAACACTAATTTTTGTTAAGCGGAACCGAGAGTTGCTAGAATGAGAAATGAGACAGTGAGAAAGCCACTAATATCCCAACACATTATCTTGGATTAAAATTCAAATTCCCTCCTCTTTTTATTTTTAACTATTTCATATTTTGACAATGACACGTGTTGAGACATTAGTGGCTTTATCACTCTATCATTTCTCATTCTAGCAATTCCTAACCCATCGAATAATAATTGTTGATTTCTCTCTCAAAACAATTTTTTTTTTTTTTTTAATTTTAAAATCTTAAGGTTGCAGATATATGAAGTTCTTAAATACGGGGTATGTATTTAAATAAGGAGTATGTATTTAAATACGGAGTACGTATTTAAGTTATTAAAAAAGGATAATGTTATACATAGCCTAAGGCTATATATAATCATTAAAAACACTCTTGGAAATTGTATAAAATTAGGAATTCACGACAAAAACACGCGTAAATCAATGTAATTAGTGTAAATTTGTCATGATTTTCTAAATTTAAACAGTTTCGAAGAGTATTTTCAATGCTTATGTATAACAATTTTCATTAAAAAATACCAAGTAAAATAAAATAAAATGTTAAAAGGACAAAAACGCAAATTGAAGAGAAGAATCGATATAGGTAGAGAGGAATCACTATTAAAATCAATCAAAAAGCCAAACAGAAGAATCTGTAATCTTCACTACTTTTTCCTTTTTTTCTGAATCCGATTCATCCCCAAATTCTCACTCTCCTCTTGAATTTGGCAATGGAGATAGCAAGAAGAGCTTCTCACGCTGGTTCTTGGTACACCAACAATGGTATGTTTCTTCATTTTTCTTCATTTTCATATTTTGTTGTTTGATTTTTTTAGTTATTTTAAAAAAAATTAATTTTCTACAATATCCCCTTCTTTACTCTAATGCTATAAAGCTGTAGTAAAGGTAAAAACTTGATTTTGACTAAATATTTATCTGGTTCAATGAATTTAAGTAATTTGATGTTCTTTGTTTTGGGTGTTTTGGCTATATGTAATCTGAAAATTGATGTGATACGAAGTGCATACAATTGAATTATAAAGAAAACTTAATATGATAAAGGGTATAAAAACTGATTGTATGGGATCATTTGAGAAAATCAAGAAAAACTTTGTTCTGAAATTGCTGAATTAGGATTGCTTGCATTGAAGTTTAGGGTTATGAATGTTGTTGCTTGTCTTTGATTGTCCTGGATTTGCAGGACATATTTAATGCTTAAAATGCTTGTAATAAACATTTGGTTATTAAACCTAAGAGAAATTTTAGTGCAATTGAGTTGTTTTTGTGTGATGAGTTTAAGTTGAATTTTCGATTCCAGTCCACTGAGTCAGCTTTAATTGCTTGTTCCATACTTGCATGCATATATAGAGTAAAAGACCATGGGTACACCGCGAACTGCTTTTACTAATAGCTATAATTTCCTCAATATTGCTTAATTTCTCTAATTAGATATGTTCTTGGAGTAAATGGGTCCAACTTAAAATAATGGCGGCGATAGAATGTATAACATTACATGTATGTATATTTCGGGAGATATGCTTAAACAAAAGTGTTTCTCAAATAGACTAATTTTTTTGTTTGGCCGGTGGTTTAACTCTAGGTGTTTGGAGTAATTAGTGAGATTTGTTTATAGAGTTATAGGTCTAAACTTTATCAGAGAAGTATACTTAGCCATTCATCTTTTTTTAGCGGGGAGATGGTCAAGTTTAGTTATTCTAGGGTGATAACATACCCCTCCTTTCTAGTGTTGTAAGTCTTGTAACTTGGATACACCATTCTACATGAGGGGTATGAATGACATAGGTATTTTTCATCGTCCATTGTTATTTCCGTCATAATTAAGCATGTGCTATTTCCCAGAACATCAGTAGGGCAGTTTTTTTTTATAAGAATGAAATAAATTTGTACAGTTGGAATTTTTTGGTTCTATAATTTTTCCTTGCAGTTTAAAGTTTTTTTACATCCTTTTGTCTTTAAAGTGTTCGTCTTTTCTAAGCAGATTTTATGTCTCTTATTCAGCTAGCAAATTAGCTGAAGAACTTGAAGGGTGGCTAAATGAAGCTGGCCTTAGCAAATCTTCTGATGTACGAGGTGTTATTGCTCCGTAAGGCTTTTTCCTGTTTCACCCTCATTTAAATGACATCAAATACTGTGATGGACATAATCCTCACTTTAGGAATTGCTTCCATATGACCAGGCATGCAGGATATTCATATTCGGGCCGTGCTGCAGCTTATGCATTTGGCAACATAGACCCCACAAGCATGTGAGTTTTTCTTCAACACTCAATTGTTATGTTTCATTACCTCTTTTTTAATGCTATATACCTATATTATACTGAAAAGAGAAATAAATCTTTCAGATTAATGAGAATAACAGCCTAGTTATGTTATTATGCATTACTGCTTTTTTTTTTTGGGGTGGTGGTGGTGGTGGTGAGGGTGAGGGGGCTTACTATTTAATGTGCGGCTTATTAACTTTAAAAAAAAATGTGCGTTTATCCAGTTCAAGGGTGTTCCTTTTGGGTCCCTCACATCACTACTATACTCCTAAATGTGCTCTTTCAAGAGCCACTGTATACAAGACTCCTATTGGAGATCTGCCTATTGATTTGGAAGGTATGGTCAAGCCTTACGTATATTCTCTTTCTTTTCTGATTCCATTGTCTCTTCTAGTGTGATTGAACTGGTTGAAGTAAATGTCTTCTTGAAACTGTGATAAAAATTGGTATCAATTGTCAGACTTTGCTTTAAGTTGTTTATCAGGGTGTCTTTTTTCATTAAAGTGTTGGGTGATTTTCTCGAAAACTTTTTCATGAACATATAGATTAGTTATTATTTGCTCTCTCTGGAAGCAGGGAAAAGTCCATTGGTAAAGGAAGTATTTCATCAAATGTATGCTACCTTGTGTAATCTCCTAAAATATAAAATATTGATTTAATACTCTATAATCATCATTTTTTTTTTTTTTTTGGGGGGGTGGGGGTGGGAATGGGAATAATTTGTAGATTCTTTTAGCAACAGAAACTTGCTTTCATGGACTGATAGAAGTAGAATGGTAATTGTGTTGGTTTAAACTTCCCTTGCGTGTATTTTGTGAATCATATTAAAGGTGTGTGTGTGTTTGTGGAGAAAGGGGGAGGGGGTAAGTAGAACTGTTAGAGGTTCTTAGTTTTTAATAAGGAAAGCTCACTGACACCATCTTTTTAGTATTCATTGGTTAATTGATTCGTTGGGATGGTTTCAAGGAACGGCGTGTATTTATTTCCCACTTCTACAAATTTCATTGTATGAAAAACCTCATGATTTGCTTTTGTGAAGAGAATTCACTTGTATCCTTTTTTTTATTTTTTTTTATTTTTTTTTATTATTATTATTATTCAACCAGTCATTGAGGAGCTTAAGGCGACTGGGGAGTTTGAAATGATGGATATTCGGGTTGATGAGGCTGAGCACAGCATGGAGATGCACTTGCCTTATCTTGCTAAAGTATTTGAAGGGTAACTAATATGTTTATGTTAGTCTCTTCTATGAACCACACCATCTGCTTTGTTGAGCCTCACCATCTGCTAATAATATTGCAGACATTCAGTAAAAGTTGTTCCAATTTTAGTTGGGGCTGTTAGTGCTGAAAGTGAATCCATGTATGGCCGATTGCTAGCTAAATACGTGGATGATACAAGCAATTTTTTCTCAGTATCCTCGGACTTCTGTCACTGGGGATCTCGGTATGTCCATTCACACAGTTCTTACTTCTCTTTGGCTGATATGATGCCAGATTTTTCTCAGTATATTTTTAGTTCTGTTCCTGAAAACTAAAAGCCCTTAATGTTTCTTCCTTGCTTTAGCTTCAACTACACTTACTATGACAAGAAACATGGAGCCATCCACAAGTCTATTGAAGCATTGGATCGTATGGGGATGGAAATTATAGAAACAGGAGATCCGGATGCATTCAAGCAGTATTTACTCAAATATGATAATACCATATGTGGTCGTCATCCAATTAGTGTGTTCCTCCATGTAAGTACCATTATGGAGTATTCTACTGAATTCAACTAAGAACCAATATACTTGTTTACTTGCCTTCTTTAATTACTTCAGCTTGGTGGAAGTTGTTTTTCGTCTCTTATAATAACAGCTAAGTTGGCAGTCTTAATGCTCGAGGTACCGCTTCACTGTTTACTTTCTCATATAATTTCCATCTTCTATATTTTCAGATGTTGATGAACTCTGCCACGAAGATAAAGATTAAATTTTTGCGGTATGAACAGTCAAGCCAATGCAAGAGCATGAGAGACAGTAGCGTAAGCTATGCTTCAGCAGCAGCCAAGGTAGAACCTTGAAACCTCAAGGACTATCTATCTCCTGCTAGTCTGCTATATACATTTTAGTTGCTTTGAAGGGCTGTCTGCCTGTCTATACTTGATTTCTGATTATCATCCTTCAAAGCCAAAACTTGGTTTTCCATTTGTACCGTAGTTCAAAACTCCATTAATAATGAAACTTTCTCCAAAAATAGTTGTCCTGAAGGCATTTTGCTCAGATTGGTTCATAATTCGATTGCCAATTCTTCATCTTTAGATTTTTCTCCTTTTTGTGGTGTATATTTTTTTTTTTTAATTTTTTTTTTTTACAAATTTTAGTTTTTACCATTGACTAATTGTTAACGACTTGACGGAAGTAGATAGGTTTCTGTAACAAGAAGGTAGTCTATCTAGTTTAGCCAAGGTAGAAGCTCGCAACCTCGAGGAAAGAAATTAAGATTTATTGATTTACCATTAATAGCCGACTATGTGAACGTCCAAAATTTTCTATACTGATAATGGTGCATGCTTTTAAGAAAACGCTTCAGGGCAAGAGAAGTCTAATAAACATTTAAACTGTGCACCCTTTTACAAATCAACAATTACTGCAAGTCTGCAACCACTAAACATCAAGTGTTAGAATTTACCTAAATCTAATTACCAAAAGACCTAAACAAGATCCAAACTTTTACAGATGCAGAGGTAAAAAAAGTGTTTGTCTTGGGCTTCTACCCTGACAGCGGACACCATCATCATCATCGTCTTTACTCGTTAAAATTAATTTAACGAATCCCCAGAATGTTAAGGTTATTGAATTTCAAGGTTTTAAGGTAAATTTTCTGTGTTGCTGTTAGGCATTGTAGCTACAAGTTTATGTGTGCACTATGCGGTTGCAGTGGTACTCAGACAGTATAAGAAGTGAACTAGTAGCTGTACACCTATTTCTGTTTATGTGCAAGATTCAATTTCAAGAACCCTGTGCTCTTAATTTCTGTTATCTCTAAAATTGAGATTCTATGTTACACCAATATTTTGTAGCAAGCTGAAACTTTCATCTGCACTCGAATCTGCAAAGTACAGGTGCAAGGGTACAACATGTGAAATTACAAAATTTGCTTTATTCAAGTCATAACAATATTGATGGAGAACTAACTCTCAAATAGGAAGATTATGTATCTGCTATTATATTTTCAGATATTTGGCCTTTTGATTTACATACTAAGGCGGATAGCAGGGTTCTCTAGGCGTTGGTTACGCTTAGATTTAACCATCTGGCTTAAAGCCTTAACATACCGCTTGACAAATTTTTTGAGTTTCACTCCTTGGCGGCCATCATCAGGCTGTTTTACTACCAGTTGAAGTTGCTTCTCATCAGCGAAATACTGGCCAAGTATAGCCCTACCTTTATCTTTTCCATCAGATGTGTCGTCTGCTTTGCCATCAACACTAATGAGCTGCTTGAGTTTTACATGGTCATTCTTCTGCCCTTCACTGGTCTGAGTTTGATCACTTTCATTCTTCTGATCGGGACCTCTTGAAAAATTTGGAGCGACGACATCTTCTTCAACTGTAGACAGATACAATGTCGCTCTTCTGGTTCTCTTTGACTTGCTGATATCATACAAGTGTTTTCTGGAACTGTATTCACTGCCCATTTTGTGGTATAACAGTTCAAGGAAAAAAGAAAAATGAAGATAATAACAGGATTAAGAGAATGAATAAAGAAGTGCAAGAAACAAATCAAAGATAATTGGTTAGTTTAAGAGAGTTTTAAGCAAAGCCTTCTGTAGGTATTACTTAATTAAACAGCAAATAAAATCAAGTAATTAGCCTTTGTGAAAGGTAACCCATCAATTTTGTAGGCTTCCTGTCTTATATAACCATAGAGAAATCTAGAGTTTATATGATTACCTTATAAAACTAAAAACAAAACCTTCTACCAAATACAGATTTGGATGCTTTCTGATTAGTCGCCTTTCATCATGTAATGGTGTTACTAACTATCATTATCTGAGACTAGCTGCATTTCTCATCAGCTATAAATTAGGTATCATGCACCTTTCTAAGTTTTGATACCTCTAATGCAATCGTTTTCTCACTTTTTTCGGCTTTTTTTAGAAGGGTGGGGGTTCTGTAAGATTGTTTTGCTTTATTTTACAAAAATTAGAACCGGAGAAATAATGGATACCATCATACTAGCATACAACAAACAGTTCATAATATCAGTGTATATATTACTTAATGCAGAACATTAACAGTACAGTTTCCGAGCTCTGATCAAGCATAAGTGTTCATCAACTACTGCATCTTTTCAAAATTGCATGTACGCGCCAGATTTAAGGTATCATGTTCAGTACTCACTTCCTAGTATAAGAAACATTCATGACGAGTAAGACATCAAACAAGCAGCTTCTATCCAGCCTACGTTTTCTAATTCCTTCCCCCCTTTCTGCAGACAATCATTTTCACATACATCTCAGTGTTACTATCCACCTTCATGAGTTGGCACTTTAAGTTGGATGTCAAAGATCTTACCACTGAATTACTCATTGAACATTCTAGTGAAAGACTGAGATACCTTAATGAAATCTATTTTATTGCATTGCACGACATACCCACAATCTATCCGATTGGATCTTGAACGTCAATCCCACAGATCATCATACATCCCCAGCTGAGTGAATTGTATGTGTTAAACACATATGCAAAGAACTAAGCAAAAATTAAAGGCACAACTCTCATTGAGCCAAGTGAAGTGATCAAAGTTTATGCTTAGAAATAAAATATCCAAGATCATAGGAAGCGTATGCCCCTCTTTTCCTACATTTCTTGTTAAACTTCCTTTACATTTTTCATACACAAGCCAGTAAGAAACAGATTTCACTTTTTCGATAATTGCTCAGGGGCGATTTCCTAAGCATTACACTAGATTTTCTGAATTGGTCTCTTAAATGTTAGGAACAGAGAATTCTAATTAAGCTAGGAGTATCATCACAGTTTCACTGGCTAAAAACACTATGAGGGCCTTACTAGCTTCATCAAAATAAACCATACTTTGCTATACATTTAGCTTTAGCCTTCAGGATAAACCCACTTCTGTGAATTTTAAAGCAGTCAAAATCCGCGTCTGTAGTCTGTCCTTACCCTGCACCCAAAATCGACATCCTATAAGCAATACAGATTACAGAACCTTTCTGTAGTCTGCTACATCCCCAAGGCTTGACCAATATGGTGCCACAAACCCAATAGAGGTGACTACTGCCAAATTAAAATCCAGTATTAGTATGATCAGGGAACTCTTTCTTGCTTGATACAAAATCTCCCACAAACTCAGTACTAGTACATTTATGAAATTTATATTAAGTATGAGAACAATAATGCAGTGATTAAAACCCTTAACAAGCCACCTGCTACAGTAGTAGTAATATATTAAATCAATCAGTTTTACTTTCAATGTCATGATTAACACTTAATAATAGTTAATAAACAACACTTTCCCAAATTAGCAACTATACACAAACTATTGTCACTATGTAACATTAATAATCAATAAAATCTTATGGTTCCATTGATTTTCGATACATCTTGAACCAAGAGTTTTAAGCTGTCCTAAAGGGCAAATAATTCAAGTAATTAGACCATTAAACTACATTAGTACCTAATTATGATTTCTGCATTTAGACAGTAAATTGAAGCAAAACCCAGATCATAATTCTAGGCAAACAATAACAAGTACAGAAATTTAATGCAAAAAAATTAATTCAAAACTCCCAACTAAATCAGACTCCAATTTAGGAGAGAAACTCATTAATGTTTGAGGGAAATTGCTTACTTTGTCAACCAATTACAACAATTGAATTTTTACTTTGATATTGCTAGATAAAAGTTGGTAGATTGTGGTTGAATGGCTTGCTCCAAATACATTTTGATCTGAAAATTTTAGTGCAAAATTGTAGTCCAAAGTCTAAATTGTATTTCTTGAAGTTTGTTTTGTTAATGTGCTCAAACATTAAATCCTGTGTTATTGATACATTGTCCCATTGTAGGTATGGGAAGATTGTGTTTGTTATAACCACTAATAACTTTAGTTGAAAGTAATTGAATATTAAAAAGCATAGATGCTCTAAAGGTGGGAGTATTAAAATGCGAGTAGATGAGGTGCATGAATGAACATATTGTTTATAATTAAAGGAATGTGGAGCACATCGCTTAAATTATAAAAACCTGATCAAGCGTTATGTTGTTAAAATAGAGAATATAATGTTAGATATGGACAAGTGGGCAACAGAGTTCGCCGTATTATACAAACTCACGAGAGGTTTCATTCCATGACCATTTAGAAGAATAAACTCTCAAGCTAAACTATCTCCGTTTCATATTATTTGCAACACAATGTCATATATTTTGGAACGGGAGGAAGTATAATAATACTCCGTACAATTAGATGCACGGTGTACTCCGTATTTTAATGTCATAACCGTTACGGAGTAGTAGAGTACCGTTGCATAAATGAGGTTGTAATTGATAAAAGGGACAAATATTTATTTAAAAGACAAAATAAAAAACTTTACTACTCGTAAGAACAAATGTAGGTGGGCCCCTATGACATGTGACTCTTCCTAAGAATTCTCTTACATGTCACACGCTCACATTTTTACCTACTATCAATTTAATACTCCGTACTTCACCATCAATTTATCATATCCCATCGTAGCCGTTGAAATCAATCCCACGGCCTTAATTCACTTCACTTTCTCTGTTATTCTACCACTTAAAAAAACAATGTTTATGTCAGCAACTTGTAGAGGCATTTTCTTTTAAAATTTAATTAAACTAAGATGACCTATAAAAATCTAATATACTTTTATTATAAACTTGTGACAAATTACAATTATAATGGAAACTTCTTGTATTTGACTAATATAATAAAGTAGGTTTATAAATAGTCTTGAATAAGATTTATTGTTAGATATAATGTTAAAATTTTACTGCCACTATATATGAGTTACAATTGAGGAGTTTTTTTGCATCAAAAAAACATGAGGAGTTCTTTACATAGCTTACAAATTATAGATTAATCATTAATTCAATTCATTGACAACAAAATTTTGTTATAGGTACTCATGGTTAATTTTAAAATTATGCAAGATTTCATGTTATGTTTATACTCCTTATGAATTACGGAGTAATACAAATTAAGCAGGTTTGTCTTCTCAATCTTCTCACACACAACTCTTTTCACTCCAACCTTTACAAAAACATCTTTCATTCTAGTTGATTGCAACATTAACAAGTACTGTAAAATAATACTCGTACAAAATATAAAATAATACTCGTATTAAAGTACTACCAGTATTAAAGAGTAATTTAAACACTTGAAAGTAAAGATATAGGTCAAAGTCAACTGAATTAATTAACACTTGTACAAGTAACTTAAATACAGTACAAGTATTAGATTAGTTTAGATAAAAAGTTAAATAAAAAAAAACTGAAAACCCCTCAATTTTACCCCTTTTGTGTTTTTCCTTCATATGATTCCGCTATTTTTAGGGTTTTACAAATTAAATTAAGAAAGAATCAATTCTTCCAACTTTCTTCTTTCTCTCTCTTTCTCCATCACTTTCCTTTCTCTCTCTTTCTTTCAATTTTCCAGTTTTCTTAGAAAATTTGCAATGGAGATGATGGCGAGCTCAAACGATGCCGTTTTGCGGAGTTTTGTGCTTGAGACTGTTGCTACTGTTGCTGTTCAGTCTCTCTCCTTTGCCCTTGCGGTGGTATATAATTTCTTTCTCTCTCCTCACTTCTTTTCACTTCGCTTTTAGCTTAATTTAGAAATTTTTATTTTTTTGCTAATTTTGGGTATAATTAAGCGTAAAATTCACTACTTTTTCCTTAAATTAGTGAAGTTTCTGGCTCCTGCTTACTTCAATTTCAATTGGGTTTTATTAATTTTTTTTTTATTTTTATTTTTTTTTTATTTTTATAATCATATGTGTATATTGTAAGAATTAGAATTATTTTGTTTTATTTATTTTTTATGTTCCTTTTTTGATTTTTTTTTTCCTTTTAATAAATTTTGAAGGAAATTTGGGTATTTTAATTGTAATATTTGAGTGTAGATCTGAGTTAAAGAACTGTAACTTACCAGCCAAAAAATTTCAAACTTTGGGGAATTCATGATATTTGTGGATATTATGTAACATATTTGAGGTTTTTGTTTGGATTAATTAAATTTGTTATATTGGAAGGAAGATGAAATTAATTCATGACCAAATAGTGATAATTTAAGCATTTTAGTCCTGCCTCCTGTGATTGACCCTAACATTTCTGGCAATGTTGGCCTGTATTCAGGATTTGTTGATAGTTGGAAGGAGAATGTTAATTAAAAAGTGCTTTCTTGGGTTATTTAAGAATTTCTATATAAAAAGTGGGGCTTTAGGTTAGTTTATGTTGCAGTAAAAGTGGTTTTCGTGGGGTTGTGATTGATCATTGGTGCCTGAAAGTATAGCGGCTTTGCGGTTTGTTGTAGCCTGTAGGTTGTTTGAGCCACTGAATTGATATTTTTTGCTGAACTAATTTGAGGTGCTTTATAAAATTGAGTTCTGCTAGGCTGGTAAGAGTTTGCCGAATATTGATTTAGAATTTTGTTTTCATAAGACTTGTAGCAGAAGGGAAATATGTATCTTTGTAAGCTAAGGTAATAAGGTGGAAGCTTCCTGTAAATACTGACGAACTCAAGATAATAAATGGTGGTTTAGTTTGGTACTATGGATTTTTGAAGTAGTAACACTGAGGGAAGGTCATTGTTTTTCAGTGGTATCTTGGTGTAAAAAGACAAACGATATAATGGGTTCTCAAATAAATGTATTTTGTGCTTCCTTTTGTTTGTTGAGCTATCATCAAGCAGGCTAGAAGTAGGAACTATGTAGTAGTGGCTTTTGTTTATGAGAGTAAATGCAAGTTGATTTGAGCTGAATTGAGTCTTTGAGGATTATCACTTAGGTTTTAGGGGCTAAGTAATTATGGGCTGATATTTATCATGGGTTCATTTTTGAAAGGTCATTTGCCTTTGATGTTGTGATTTTGTTAATTCTGTATACTCTCTAGCTTTTCGCTGTACAAAGAAGAATATTTATGTTGGCCTATTGGGTGTTTGGACACACTCTGTCGTAGAGTATCTACAAATATAAATTATTGTTTCCTTATGTTAGGTACACAAGCAGAAAGTCATGCTGTGTTATGTTTAGTAGGAGTGTGAAGATTTAAGTTCTAGGTTATGGCTCTTCAAAGGTTGCTTGTTAAGTTTTTTAATATATTCAATCCATTGCATTTATATGATGAATTAGGTTGGTGACGAAATATTGCGAGCTCAAATTTAAAAGCTAACAAATAAAATGTGGTAGAGGGATTAAACAATTTGTGTTTTTGCTTTACTTAAGAAAGACCTTGTTGCCTTAATAATCTGGGGCTGACTGTCTCTCAAAGATGGCCTAAAGCCCACTTTAAATTTTCAAGGATGAAAGTGGAAGATTTGTGGTTCCCCATGAGTCTGCTAGCAGTGATGAGGGTTTTAGTTTAGGACTTATAGAGAAAGGAGCTTGGTCAATAATCTCTGTTCATATCATTTCTATTCTTGATTGCTTGACAGAAAATTCATGCAGGATTGCCATCACTGAGTAATGTGTGGAAGTAGAACTGCCTACCTGGGTGCATATCTAGTCAAAATGTAGGTGGTTTGCTCTGCTTAGATAAGTGACAATTCCATTGAAGTTGTAAAACTAATGAGCAAGCATAAAGGTAAACATGGTCACTGTGCAATACTTGACCAGTTCAGGGCTTCAGGCCAGTTTGTGCTGGGAGCACTCATTGTTGTCTTTGGGTAAGGATTTGACTTGTCAGCTCATCTGAGTGTTTCCCCCCTTTTCCCATTGATTTCTTCTGCTACGCACTCCCCTTGTTGTTCCTGTTGAATAAACCTGCTGTCTCCATAATTCAATGTAGTTTGCCTTCCTCCCATATTGTGTGGGTTGCCTTGTCTAATGTGCTGGCTATCCAACCCAAATTTGACTTCGACACTCCTATCCTCATTCTATGATATGTCTTTTTAGGTTATCTGGCGTTATTAGTTATCCAAAACTTCGTAAATACTACCCTTATATTAGTGGAGTATCTGGCATGTATAAGGAGAATTGCTGTGGAAAAAGGCTTATGGGTGGTTATGTGGAAGAGTGGAACATGTAAACTGATGATTTCCCCGCTGAAGATTCCAAGATGTACTTTTGCAGTTTTGTCAAGCCCATTAGAGTTATAATGATATATTAATGAGAAGATTTGTGATCCCTGTTATAGTGAATCAGCGATGGTACTGTCACTGCTTGTTTATCATCTGATGTGATGTGAATTTGAATTGACATGACTTCCCTTGGTTTGCAGCCAAGCCAATGTCAATAAAGGACTTTTTCTCTTACTTTTTGTGAAAATTGATTGATCAAGAGATTGATTTTTGGGATATGATCTTTATTAAAGCTAAGATACGTATGCTTACAATAGCATCCTCAAATCTCAATTTAAGGGCTTCCCATATCTGTTTCTTTGGGTTAAATGTGGAGTTTGGATCCACACGAGGCTTTTCCATAGAACAAATTTATGGCAATCAACGAGTGAAGCCAATCCAGACGTAGGGATAAAATCATAGTGCCAGATGACACTGGTTGCACAAGTAATTGAACTGCTGGATTTTGCTTTGATTGATTGGCAAACCTAGGCAATTTAATCACGGAGTAAGTAGTTTTTTTAATCTGATAACCTAATACTAGGATACATTGGCCCAGATGTTTTGATCAAAAGAGAATTTCGCCTGAGAATATCTGATTCAATGTTGGTCCTGCTTGAAGTGATGCTACTTGTAATTTAATTTCATCAAATCCTAGCTAATCTTGAGTCTTCTTATTGTTGTCTGATTATTCTTGTCTATCTTTGAGAGTTATTACCGTGTTTTAATATTTCTCAGCTGACATTCATCCTTGGCCACTTGGTTTGTTTCAGTTAGGATCTTTGCCACAAGGTGGTATTGTGCTGCCACAGGAACCTGCTTTGTTCAATTGGTCAGTAACCCTTTGGGATTAAAAGTTAAAACTATTGTCATTTTGAGGCGGCAAGTTCATATAACTGGAATATTAATGTCTTTGCAGGCTTCCATTATCTGAGTTCCACCATACTGAAAAACCTGATTCAGAGAATAAAGATGCAGACGAAGAAGATGATGATGACGATGACGACGAAGCTGAAGGTGATGAAAAGGCTGGTGGTGAAGAAGGTGGTGAGGACGAAGGCGAGGAGGTGAACGATGAGGAAGGTGATGCCGAGGAAGAGCCAGAGGCCAATGGAGAAGGAGTTGAAGGGGAGGGAGAAGATGATGATGACGAGGAGGAGGAAGATGATGACGATGACGATGACGACGATGATGACGAGGATGGTGGAGATGACAACGAGGAAGAAGAGGAGGAAGAAGAAGAAGATGAAGAAGAAGAGGGAGAGGAGCCACCATCTAAGAAGAGGAAAGGAGCTTAATAGCGAAACCCCCTTTAACACTTTTTTTTTATTCCTTTTCAATTTTCTTTCAAGGGTTGAGGATTCTGAAAAATGTTGGGTAGCCTTTGTTCAAATTCGAGGATTAAGCTTGTTACGAATGTAGAAAAAAAAAATATTGAAGTGTTCATGTATTAACCCATGTGATGTTACCAATTTTAGAAAATAATTACTTTTTTTAGTGTACCACTTCATGTTTTTAGCAATAATATATACTCTTCCCCGTTTCTTCATCATGCTTTTTTTTATCAATTCGTATGGAGTATGTCTTGTTTGGTGTATATAAGCGATACAAATGGGGTGTTATAAAAGCGATTTGGTGTATAAAAGCAATACAAATGGGGTGTTATAAAAGCGATACAAACGGAATTCGATCCTAGAAATTGGGTATTATAAATGGGATTTGTTCCTAGCAATTGAGTAATATTGATTTTTCACATTTGTCAATATACAAATTTCTTAACACAGATATTCAGAACAATTTTTAGAAATTTCTCATTCTAAAACCATATGGCTTATTAGAAGCGATGATTGATAGTGTTAATAAAGTAGCAATACTTCGGGGAAAAGAGTTCACACAACATATACTCTCCACTCTCGAAGTCTCGAACAACTAAGTGACAATAAGAAGAAAAAAAACATACATTGATCGATCAAGTTCTTGCAAAAGACAATAAACACTAGATTTATTCTAAACTATGTCCATAATTTGACATTGAAGCTAGCAAATTAAGCACATTTACTAGCAAATAACAACCGCAGAATCTGGGATCCAAACAACAGGAGTATCCCAAGCATAAGAGAAGTTGACATGTTGACCTGGCTTCAAAATATTATTGTCAATAAGAACGCATTTATCTCCATCTTTAGAGAAAATAGTTGGATCAACTGGTTCAACAGTTAGCCAATTGTTGCAGTTTCTAAATGTAATGTTACTCATTGAACAATTCGGGCAGGTTTGTAGCATTGTCACGTTCCATTCTTGTTCCCCTAGTATTATTCTTTCACTTCTTTCTACTTCATATTGGATGTTGTTCAAATCACACGTGAATCCTTGTCAATTTTGTAAACAAAGATGTTATCAATAATACATACTAGTCGTGTTAATGGTAGAAAATTTGCATGTAACTAGGTATTTTTGAACTATCATGCATTTCTCCAATCGGAGTATGAAGAGTGAATAAATGAATGTGATGGATCATGTATAGGATGAGGGCAACTCAATATATAGTCGTGTGGGGACGAGGGCAACTTAATATATGATTGGTAATAGACAACATAGTATATCATGCAGAGGTATTTTGGTAAATTCATTCAACGACGAAGCTTTTTGAGTATTAAATATCATAAAATGTTTCTAGTACTTCACCTAAAAATTAGTTTTTACTCCACATAATATTGTTTCTTCAAATCAATTACATTATCAACATGATTATTAAATTCAGATAAATTCCCGTTTTCTGTAATTGAAACCATGACCAAAAGCCCAAAAGGTATATTAAAAAAGCATTACAAAATAAAAAAGAAGCAGAGTTTGTACCTGTATATAGGAGGCCCAAAATGAGAATTGCAAAAACCCAAAAATTACCACCTTTTGCCATTGAATATTTAAGGAGTTCTTCTCGTTCTCACAGAATTTATAGGTTAAGAAATACGTAGTAATAATTTACAAATAAAGCGATTTTTGGTTTATATTTTATAATGTGACGTTGAAAATGAAAGAGCCAAACTGACTGAGGTTGTATTCCCATTTTAAGAAGATCCTTTGGGCCGGGTTACCATAATGAATTAGATTAGATACTCAACCAAATTTATAATTAGGATTTAAAAATATATATATATATATTAGGATTTGCTTAAATAAAGTTGTACTCCATATTAAATTCCTAGTGGATTAGTCACTACTCACTAGTGGTTACTTATACCATATTTGCATAGTCAAATTTAAAATGATGTTTTATAAACCAAATGATATATAGCACTGAAACAAACTGTATCAAAGAAGGCAAATTTCTGCGATTCAAATTATCTATCTTTGTTAGGAGAGTTTGAATTACAATAGTTTTAGGCACTTTATAAAATAAACTGTATCAAAGAAAGTGTAACACTTATATTATTGTAACACGGCCGTATTAGATAAGTGTAACATTTAATTTATTAAAACACGGATGAAGTACATGGAACAAATATAAAATGATAACTATAAAGGCTTAAAAGCAAATGTATAGGGCACTCTTTTTGAAAGCAGGCAAGTTGTGCATGCATGTAAAATTTGATTTTCACCAATCTCATATCAAAAAATAAAATTTCTACAAATATCTACATTCTAGCTAGTATACATTTAGCATACCTTCTTTAATTTCTAATTTTCCATTGCTAAAAGAGAATTCTTTTTTTTTTTGTTTAGGAAAACTCAAAACTATTTTTATCCGAATAAGCCACAAGGGCATTATCAATCATTAACCAAACGTGAAAGGGGATATGAATATGTGACATATCATATACGAGCCCTCATCAAGAAAAATAAAACCAATTCAAGGTTTGAATAGCACTTCAAATGCTCATCATCCTACCATTATCTCTTTCAAACAACATATTGGTGATGTAAATGGAGATAGAATTCAATTGAAACAATTCATCATTCTCTTTTACCAAAATAGGAATCCTTCTCTTTGCCTTTCTATTATCTTTACAAGTTAAAGTCGAAATCGTGGCCGAACTTGCCCTATTATTAGCTTCAAAATAATCCTTAGATTGTAAGGCTTTAAGCCCTCCTTCTAAATCCACAATAACATCCAAATATTGCTCCAAAAATAGCTTCAAGACCCGAATAGTACGCGGATCGGTATGTGGATTATCTCTTAGAAGATTTTCTATCCTAGATTTTGTAGCAATGGCTTTTGATATGCCCAAATTTAAGGAAATATAACCTAGTTGCTCGATTGTGATTGTTGCTTTGGAGCTCCGTATGTTTGACCCGAGTATCCGTAAGCAGAAATCATACCTTACATCCGGATCATCCTTTGAAATTTGTTTGCAAGTATCCGGGATTATGCTTGAAGCATTTGTTGAAGAATGTAGTAACAAGAAAAATATGACAAAAGAGATGAACATTATTTTATTGATGATAATTTGCTAGAATAATGTTTCATTTTCTTGTAGCCTAAAACTAATTTAGGCTTTCAATTTTGATGGATAATAGTCTAAATTGTATTTTTTCTTGTATATGTTGAATGGTTAAAATTAAATCCAACCTGTCACACAAGGAAATTGAAAAATTTTATGGTTCTATTTTTGTTTGCTTATTATTATGATTTCCTTTGAATCACTAATTTATTTCCTTGTCACCAAAAGCAAAATTAGGTAAAATTACATAGGAATTTAAAGCAAATATCTCAATATATTTTTTGGAACATGAATTTTTGACTTATATAATACGAGTAGATATTCTTTCCAAAAAAAAAAAAAAAAAAAAAAACCCAATATTACCTAATACGCTAAACTCCTTAAGTATTGCGTATATAAAAAGCATATTATATTTAATTTGAGCTATTTTTGGCCCATTATATATATATAAATGTATGATAGAATAATTATAGAGATTTTGATATAATTTCAAAGTCGTGGCTTAGAGGATAGAATTGAATAAGTTAAGAATGTTACAAATATTAATCACAACTAGCCTTTTGGCCCGTGCAATGCATAGGTTATTCTTAGAAAATTGCATTGAGAGATGAGTTAGGAAATATCAATAAGTCATTATGAGGTATAATGTGTGATTGGAAAGAAAATGGGAGGAAAAATTTAGAGAAATTTGTGAAAAATGACTTTTTAAGTGGTCGACTTTTTGAGATCATTTTAAGTGAAAAGTTGTGAAAAAGGAATTTTTAAGTTGTGTTATGTTGTTAGGGGGTACTTGGGTGAGTTTTCTTGGTCGTCAATGTCGGAGCTCTGACATTGACTTTTCACGTGTTAATCACTTGAGTTATTTATATATATAAAAAATATTTTCACCCCCTAAATTTCCCTCCTTTCTCGTTTTTTAACTCACCGGACTAACACGTGAAAGTCAATGTCGGAGCTTCGACATTGACCACCAAGAAAACTCATCCAAGTACCCCCTATAAATATAATACAATTTAAAAGGTCATTTTTCATAGCTTTTCACATAAAAGATCATTTTTCACAAATTTCTCTAAAATTAAAAAGAGAAGAGGAAAATGTTGAATTGAATAGGGAAGATCGATGAAGATGAAGTGTACATATAAGTTTAATGGAATAAATAATTAAAGAAAGTGTTTGTAAAAAGACATGTGGCACTTTGGTTAGAGAAGAAAATAGAAAAGTGTAATATGATCTGCACATGTGTCTTTCTTGGTTAGAGTTTTTAAATACTAGGTATAGACTAGATATAGATATTTCTAATATAATTATCTCCTTCAACAAATAGATAAATATGACATCATTTATTTCCATAATTTCAGCATCTTCAATATTCTTAAAATAAATTTGTGACAGGCTATTCAAAAAAATAAATAAATTTGTGACAGAGATTTAATAAGGAAGTATATATGTCGACATGTCGTACGTATTCTAGGCAATTTAGGTTAAATAATATACTCCGTTTAAATTTAAATTCGTATTTTTGAAATTTAGATTATATTTTTCACACACAAAAAAAAAAAGAAATCTAGATTCTAGAAACATCCTATTTTAAAAACGGAAAGAAGACAACACGACATCAACACGGAGTCTTATTGAACAAGAAAAATGATAAAACATATATACTTATCTTTTCTAGCCTCGACTCTATATATATATATATGTTTCATGCATATCCTATGAAAATTCCCACAATATAATTGACCTCTCTTATATCTTATTAACTCGTAATTTTGCGCAGGAAAAAAAAAAACACACACACACTATAGTAAACATGTCATCAAGTTCACTCCCACAAACAAAGCTCATAAATCTAAGGCTGTTTCAATGGAACGACGTCGCTACTATGAAGCACAAAGCTGTTAGGCATGATGAAGGTTTGTTCGCCTTCAACTTCACCGCGAATCTCATACAAAAATTACCAATGTACAATGACCTTTCTCCTATAACCGTTAATTTTAAGCTTTGTTATCTTTTTAAAGATAATTTACTAAATTTGGCTAAACACATAATTAGCAAGGCTTATGTCTTTGACCCTAAGACAACTAAGTTACTTGCTGAAACAATTGCCGATTATATGAATAGTTGTTATAGATTTCACCCTTTGAGGACTAATCCTCGTCGCCCTAGGCTTGTTTTTGTCGCGGATCTTGACATTGATGATGTTGATGGTGAAGAGCAAATCGAAGAGGAGGCTATTAATAATAATCATAAGGAGGTTGTTCTTAATGATCTTTATCGAACGGTTGAACCTTTTATACAAGTTGAACAAGATGACAATAATATAGATACTAATCATGGCTGGCTTTTGCAAGATGTTTCGGTTGAAGAGGCACAACAACATGAAGTGTTGGAAAGCTTGGTCGATAGCCCTACTCCATTTCATCCATACCTTCAATTCGCGCCGTTTGCTAGACCTACTAGGGTTGCACTACCCCGGTTACTAATAGAGCCTACTAGTGATGTTGTTCGGCCACAACCCGTGAATATAGATATTAATTATACTAATTATACTTTTATTGAAGAACAACTTTGTTATGAGGGTGATGGTAACATGTGCACATGTTCGGATGTAGAGGAGGTTGATGATAACAATTTAGAAGAATTCGATCATGTTCTTGATATTTTAAAGACTTGGATTCTAATAGAAGAGGAGAATAGTTTCTCTAATAAGGATGGGAGACGAGCATCCAAACGCGCTAAGAAGCTTGTGCAAGATCATACAACATTGTTGAAGAGCTTATCAAAGATCAAACCAACACTAGTACGATTATTAGCAAAAGAAGAGGAATTAAGTGAGGATAGTATGTGCTCAATTTGCTTTGAGAAGATGTCAAGTGAAGAGGAAATCATAAAGATGACTCGTTGTAAACATTTATTTCATAGAGAATGTTTATTTAATTGGCTTCCGAAGAATCATACTTGTCCTTATTGTAGATCGAGTAGCTTAGTAGATGTTTATTATTGATTAATTAGGTGATAATTTATTATAGGTTTATTATGTATTCCCAATTTCCTAGCATAGGTTTCTATAATAATAAGTATATAGCAATACACTTCTAATGATTTTTGGGTGTTATTTTTTAGGTTTTGTCATTTCAATTTTGTTGGATCTATTGGACTTACGAGTATGTTAAACTTATTAAACATAATGTCATTAAACTTGTGAGTGTTTTTGAATTGCTCTCAAACCATAATCATTCGTATTCTCAAACCATAATCATTCGTATTGCCTACTACGAAGTATGTTAATACGGCATAGCATATATATATTTCTTTAATTACCCTTGCTTGTTTATTTAATTAGAACAAGTGTACATACACCATATAAATTTATTCTTTAAAAAAAAAAAAACTTAATCTTTCTAAGAACAAGCAATTTGAGCACTTTTCAAGGTGAAGTCAAATGATTTGTCCCAAGCATAATTGAAACTTAGGGCATTATTTGGACTGATAGGATTTCCACCGTTGATGGTACAATCTCCACCATCTTGTTTCAAAATCGACGGATCAATTGGTTCTTGAGTTTGAAATCCGTCACAAGCTAATATTATACTCGAAAACACACAATCACAAGTGTTTTTAAGGGTAAATTTAAACTCAGGCTTCCCTCCTACATTTCCTCCGGTTGGCGCTTGATCAAGTTTCAAATCTGCATTTGTGCAAGCGCTCCTTCCTATACGAAAAAATTTCGTTATAACAAATAAGGGGTATTATTTGTAAGATATAAAAACTTCCTATGCTGCAAATGAATAAATAAATAAAAAAACAAAGGTAATATGTAATAAATTAATGATTATATAATATAATTTATGCAAGAAAACAAAATTGTAACTCTTACCTCTATGAATTAGACATACAAAAAAGAGAATTGCACAAAGGAAATTGACATATGAAGCCATTGGGAAGAATAATAACGAGAATTTAAATATAGATGTTTTGTAAATTGTGTTTTCTCTTAGAAAGGGTTTTATGGTTTTTGCTAATGGTGCATATGCCTATTTATAGTGAAGCATGCATTGTAAAGAGACTTTTTTAGAAAATGTTTTTAATTCATTACACAATCCTTAGTAGTATTGATATTGATCCTAAACATAATATCCTAAAGATATGGAGGTTTATTTCAGAAAATCTATATTATGATATCTTTCGATCTGTTGGAATCAAACTAAAGAAACATTTCTCCATTTGTTCATAAAATAAAAAAATCAAAAATCAAATCAAATCAAATCAAATATTATAGATAGTATTATCTAGTATGTATCTCATATATGATATTATCTCATACATATACTCTCCTATTCTGTATATACTTTGGTTGACTATATTTTATTCTTTGTAATCTTTAATTAATACATTATTCTCTCTTAGCTATATGTAATATTATTCTATAATTCTATTATTGAAGATTATTATTATTTTCCTAAGTTAGATTATTTTGTGCATATACTTAGGCTAATCTTGTACTATTAAAGCCTTAATTGAATAATATACAATTAATTCCTTCTTTAATTTTACCCCATCTCAAAGATATTTATATACACGTAATACACCCAAATATATACACAACGTAATTACTCAAATTAACTATTTCAGATCATCTTCAGAAAATCTTGCGTGGACCTGGTCCACAATAATGTTATTGTGAACCCAAGGTTTATACACACGAAACTGACGTTATATTGAACATATTGACCCTTAATTTTGACATAATAACCTTATTTTTAACATAATAACCTTTATTAAAACTAGTATAACGTTTAATATTATTGTGAACTTAAAGTACAACGTTATGGCCCTAATTTTAACATAGTGACCTTTATTATTCAAATTAACCAGTATATAAAATATTTCATTAAAAAAATTAACCTTTTATAGCATATATATTACCAAAATGACTTTTATTTCAACATAGAGACCATTTTTTTATTATAGTGACCGTTTTTTTTCTAATAAAACAACCATGATTTCCCTAATGTTAGTGGTCCACAATAAATTAGTGTGAACCAGTTCTATTTAAGAATTTGTAATTGCATAGTGCATAGCTACATACCATCCAACCATCGGTGTCTAAATTTAACTAGGACTATATAATTTGATTGATTGAATAGAAAAAAAAAATTTGTTTGAGATTATCCTCCTTTAAAATTTTGAAAGACTCTTTTACTATAAACTAACTAGAAATTTTGATTAAAAAAAAAAATTTACTGAGTTTATGAATTGATGTCAATTCAAATATTCAATTGATATCCTTATTTGGTTGGTAATAATTTGAATATTTAAAATTTTATGAATAACAATTTACTCCGTATTAGCTTTTCTTATTCATAAATCCATAATCAAGATTAAAATTACTGTGTAATTAAATCTTAAAAGCAATTAAGTACTTTGTAATGTATATAATGTTTAAATCGTGTAAAATAAAACAAATATAACCATTTAATCATTTACTCGATTTAGAGAAACAATAAATCCTTGAAATTATCCTAATATTTACTAGGAATATTTGAAAGACCTTTTTATTTTTTATAAATTAGAAGTGCAAGACGACATTTGATCACAAATTGATATTATATAGGTTTAATTTCACCTCTTTTTTTTCATAATGCTTCTCAAGATATAACTTTATTCGAGTGTTTATTGCATGTGATAGCGGAATTTATAAGCACATTGTCAAAATAGGCAACACAAAGCCATAGCCAATCAAGTAAAACAGTCGACAATTAACCGCCAATAACCGATTGCCAACAACACTCACTCCAAATTCAACCTAAGTTTCCAAAAGAAGAACAGTAAATTCCAATAATTTTTGAAAGGCTCTAGATTCATCCATTGTCCTTGATTTTTGGCAATTAGTCTATGAGTACCCCTCACAATTAAAATCTATCCTCCTTTTTCTTTTGGGAATCAAGGATCAATAGACAAGTGTACCTGTAAAAAACTTTTGAATTAAAGAATTAGTCTTAGGAGGTCCACTTATTGTTTGTTTCAATAAATTCTCATTAATTTTTTGTCCATCTTTTTTTACATCTATAAGTTCCAAGTTATATTTTCCATTCATCAGAAACAAAGGAAAAGAAAAAAAAAATATGGAAGAAAAAATTAATTTCCTCTTCATTGTTATAATTTTCAGCCTGTTGGTCCAAGGTATGTTTAATTAATGGAATTTATATACATTTTTAATTACACAATAATGCATACATTTCTGATTAAGTTGCCTGAATATTAATGGAATGGTACTTACAACTATCTGGAGTACAAGTTAAGTTCGTGTTATATTATGAACGTCTGGTGGTGGATGTCAACTAATTTTAGTACATTTTAAAGTGGCAATAATACAGGCATGAGATCATATCTTGTACGACATTGGTTGTTATAATTTGTTAGAATTAACATTATTTGTTATTTGGTTTTGCGCTTTTACAGGTATGGGGCAGTGCTCATTGAAGGATATGAGCTTAAACCAAACCAAGGTGAATAAGTTTGTGAAGAATAATAATAGTAATAGGCCAGTATGGAAAGTGACAATCACCAATAATTGTTACTGCTCTCAATCAAACATCAAAATTGCTTGTACCGGGATTCGAACCCTGAAAGAAGCTGTTGATCCCCCAATTTTGAAGATGGAAAAGGGTAAAGGAGTGGTGAAAAATGGAGAGCCAATTTATCCATATACTTCTGTGAAGTTTACCTATGCTTCTAGCTCACCACTTCAGTTCAAGCTACTTTCTTCTCAAGTTGCATGTTCTTAGATATTATGGTCATATGTTGTTAAGCTAATATATGTACGTTGTTTTTAAGAAAATAGAAGGCTAGTGCAGTTGGCTAGCTCACTGACTACCATGCGTGACTCGTGAGGTTAGGGATCTCACCAAGCTCGACTTTTTTGGATCCTTTCTTCCGATGATAGGTCTTCTAATTTTCCAAAAATAAATAAAATGTATGTTTAGGCTTAGGTAATTAGGTTTCTCTTCCTTGTATTTAATGATTATTGATACTCGTTTGTGAGTTTCAATTCTACTCCTGTTTGTACTTTTGTTGTAGGTGATGTAAACGTTCATTCATGAATGTACTTTCCCTTTGTTTTTCTTTTTAATTTGAGTTAGTGGATATGAAGTTTGTTGCATATTGACACATTAGTTGATCATTTGGTAAAGAGCTTGCTGCTTGCACATAAAGAAAAAAAAAAAAATCAAATCTCTACTTAGTTAATTACATTATTTAAAATCATTATAAATATAATTACATAATACTACCTTCGTTTCTTTTTAATTGACACACATTCCTTTTTAGGAGGTTTTTTTAGTTGACACGTTTTCTTTTGAGGTAACTTTTTTACCTTCCATTTACAAGCTACTCCACTTGTTTTTTCATTCTCTCTCACTCTCTCTCTTCTCCTTCATATATGTGCGGATGTGCCTAAATCAAACGCGTCAACTAAATAGAAACGGAAGAAGTATGACATCCTTATACTTATATGCCATCATTAGATTCATATGACATCATTATTGTCGAGTCACATCACTTCAGTATACTTATACTTTTACGACATCATTATATCATATGACATCATTATTGTCAAGTCACATCACTTCGATATACTTTTATGACATCATTATATTCCAAAATTTCAAAATAGGAACATAACTTATTCTTGGTACTTAATAAACATTTTTATAGGTATGTTATGGTTTCAAACCACCTTATATGACCCCGGGAGTCACCCAACGTATTAAGTTCAGTTTTTGAGAAAATGTAAAAAAATGACTCGAAATCGTGTATTATAACCTTCAATTTTGGACAATTTTTCACTTTTTTTGACCCGGAAACAAAAATTGCCGAGATGCTTCCCATGGACCCTAATACACCTCTAGAGTCCATTTGGGTGGGTAAAACCATCCAATATACCTTCAAACTGCTAATTTAGCCGTTTACAACTTACACCGATTTCATAGACTGAGGCTACCACAGACATTTATGGCAACATATAATGATCATATATGATCCCAAATGATATTATATGATCCTGGGATGTATCCCCTGGTATCTCGAGACTTTTCGACACTGAATCCCGAAACCTCTGAAATTGGCCAAAAAGCGTTATTATAGCCTTCAATTTTACCAATTTTGACTTTTTTTACCTGGATTTTTTTTTTTTTTTTTTTTCCGAGAAGCTACCTATATACCCTAATACCCTTCAGGAGTCCAATTGGGTGGGTGGAACCATCCAATTTGCCTTTAAGCATCCAATTTAACAGTTTTCGTACACGCCTCTTGTTTTAAATAATCAACACATATTTCCCAGTACACATTACTAGTTAGAGTGACATAATAAGTTTGTTACTCCTTATACAGTTGTACTTCGTATATACTCCCTTCGTTTTAAAATACTTGCTCCACTTTCCTTTTTTGGCTGTTTCTTAATACTTGCCCCATTTCCTTATTTGGAAATCTTTTACAATATTTAATTATTTTTTTCTTATCAAGCGGACCCAACAACATTAATCCACATTCTCTCCATTATTTTTGTTTTTTTTTAATATTTTTTTATTCTTCCACTAACCCCACTACCTCCGTTTTTTATTACTTTCTCTAATTTCTCCTAAAACTCCGCGTGTGGAGAAATGAAGTAAGTATTTAAAAGCGGAGAGAGTATATAACAAGTACGTATAATTTATTAATCGGGAGTGCTTATGAGTAATATGTGAGAGCATTTACAACACGTAAACACATCTTTTCACTGTTTCTTATAACTCTTCAAATGAGAAAAAAAAAAATAAAAAAAATAAAATAAAAATTTAAATATATTTTATTCTAGATCGATGTACTTGGATAGGAAATTAGATACAAGTAGATTTTGTGACAAAGGTTGCTACAAAGTTGTTTGTAGGGCTAGGTCTCATTGCAAGTTAATTAGAACTTAGATGAATGCAAAAAACAAGCTCTAGGCCTCTAGCAATGTTGGTTGTGGATGGTGAAAGAGAGGAAAAAAAAAACGAAAGAAAGAGTAAGGGTACTATTGTCCCTTTTCATCAAATGTTGGCGGTTTTGATAAAATATTGTTGACGGTGTTTGACACCCCCATCAATTTAAGTAAAACCGATAATGGTTGTTACGGTAGCAACCAACTAACTTTATCTCTCCTTTGACTCCTTGATTGTTTGACTTTACCAAAGTAATACAGTACTGTAGCCGTGTAGCGTCTAACTACACATCTACCAGAAAGTACAGAACTCGGTAGAACCTAATAAATTTGGAAATAACGCCCGCCATTGGAGCAAACCTTCAGGAAAACTTTGAGAGATAAGATGAGCGTAAATTGGGATGATTGGGTTGAAGAAGCGCTTTCCAAGTTAGAATCTCTGAAATTGTTACGTTTCCTTAGACCCATCAATGTCTCCAACAATTCATCCTTTTTTTATGGGCATGCATACCAAGTGTTCGACAATTTGCGTCAATGGGATCGTTCCTCTGTAGAAGTCATGATTTCTGAGTCTACTTTTCGCAATTGGCTCAATGATAATCCTAGTTGTGGTATTTTCCCTCTTCCCTTTTCATTGTCTTTGGAGTTTGTAGCTTATTTGTTGTTCTAATTTTTATGGGTATTTCATGTTTTGGTTGTTTTTTTTTTCTTTTATTTTCTGCTAATTGTTGAAATTAATTGAGCACATTTGGTAATTTAAATTGAACACATTGTACAGTGTATATTGGATTGGATGAATGACATAATCTGCGTTACTTTGGAAGCTGATTTCTATGTGTATCTAAGATTAATGGGATTTTGAAAATGATTAGAGAATGCTTGCATAAATGGGTTTTAAAAATTGAATTCAGTGAGCTTAAATATCGTAGGATTGAGGATTGCATTTGAGGGAGCTATTTTTCTTTCAAAAGACTTTGTAGTTCTGAAAAGGAGGGACCTTGGAGTTGGAAATGTCCGTGTTTTTTCGTTGAGAGGAATAGCTGTATATATCAATTGAGGGAGGGGTCGATAGGGGATTGAAACCTGGAATATGAATATATGATAAATGTAAACCTCGGTGTTACGGGTTAACAGCTAGACTAAAACCTTATCTGACTTGTATTATTGTTGCTGAATTGCTTAGGATCAATTGAAGTGCCTAAAGGTGAAGAGGCCAATGAAGGAGAATTGTATTCTTGCAGTGGCAGGAAGCTACTGCTGTTCTCTGGAAATGATTACTTGGGTTTAAGTGCACATCCCACAGTTAGAATGGCTGCTGCTAAGGTGATTTTTGGTAGTTATCTATTCATGTGTGATTTTTTCTAAGAAAGCACAGTGCAAAAATTTTGATATTAGAGGTGATTTGGACTGCTTGTGCTAGGCAGCCCAAGAGCACGGGATGGGTCCAAGAGGCTCTGCATTGATATGTGGTTATACAGATTATCATGGGCATTTGGAGGCAAGTTTAGCAAAGTTGAAGAAGAAAGAGGTTTGTTTTGTTCATAAACCTCTATTAGCATTTTTGTCTAGTCAATTATCTTAGTTGTGTTATGGATGTATGGGACTTACTAATACCAAACCCTAACAGTGATGTACTCAAAGTTCTATCTTTTATGTGTCAATACTGGTTTTAAGGATGCTAGGTTTATACAGTTGCTTATAGTTGACCATTGAACATGAACTATAGGTGTTAGGGTAGATAATCAGACATTCAGACTAGAGCTGTCAATTCGGGTAAACAGGTCGAGTTTGGGTCGGGTAAGAGTGGGTTAGGTCAACTCAGGTGAATTTAGATTAATTCCATAACCTATGCGGGTCAGGTTTGGGTGGAGTCATGCTTGAGTCGGGTCACGCGTGAACAATAGGTCGGGTTTAATTGGGATTTTCACGGGTTAAAACGGGTTAGGGTAATTCTCAGGTTCGAGTCGGGTTCGGTTCAAGTCAATAATTTGCGGGTTAGAATCAGGTCGGGTCATTCTCGGGTTAGAGTCGGGTTCGGTTTAAGTCAATAATTTGTGGATCATAATTAGGTTGGGTCATTTTCAAGTCGGGTCATTCTCGGGTTCAAGTCGAGTTTGGTTCAAGTCAATAATTTGCGGGTTATAATCAGGTTAAGTCATTTCCAAGTCGGGTCATTCTCGGATTCAAGTCGGGTTAAGTTCAAGTCAATAATTTACAGGTTACAATCAGGTCTGGTCATTTTCAAATCAGGTCATATTCGGGTTCAACTAACTATAAATAGATAATTATCATTTTTATCAAGCTAATTATTTCCTTTGACTATAATATATATGGCAATATACTAGAGAACTATAGTCTATAATTTAGGAAGATAATAATCTCCTTTCACCATACAACAAATATATACTATATTTAACTCTTAAATTTGAGGATGATGCTCCTTTCTTATGTTGGCCTATACCGACTTGGTCTCCCTAGACAAAAAGATTTGATCAACAATAATAAGGTGGTCTAAATTGCATTTAAGGTGATTTGAAATCATGTCAGGAACAATTTGAGTTGAATTTAGGTCGGGTTAATAACAAGTCGTGTTAATTTCGAGTCAAGTTAGTAACAGATTGGGTTGAATTTTTGGGTCGGGTAAGTAATAGGTATGGTAAAATTCAGTCAGGCCAATAACAAGTCGGGTTGAATTTGGGTCAAGTCAATAACAAGTCGTGTTGATTTCGGGTCGGGTTTGTAACATGTTGGGTTAAATTCGGGTCGGGTTAGGAACGGATCGGGTTGAATTCAGGTCAGGTTAGTAACAAGTAGGGTTAAATTCGGGTTCTCACGAGTTAAAACAGGTTTGGGTCAATTTCTATTCAAGTCGGGTTCGGTGCAAGTTAATTAAATTGGTCGTTCTAAACCGGTAAATTGGCTGTTCAAAAGAAAATTGGATGGTTTCACACATCCAATTAAACTCCCAGAGGGTATTAAGGACCATGGTAAACATTTCGGCAATTTTTATTTCAGGACGAAAAAATGTCAAAAAATTCCAAAATTGAAGACTAATATCCACGCTTTTTGAGAAACCTTGGAGGCTTCGGGACCGGTGTCGAAAAGTCTTGAAATTCTATGGGATACATCTCAGGGTCATATAATGCCGTTTGGAACCATATATGATCATTATTTGTTTTCATAAATGTTCGTGGTAGGCTTGAATTAATGAAATCAGTGCAAGTTGTAAACCGGTGATTTGGTTGTTTAAAGACAAATTGGATGGTCCACCCCACCCAATTGGACTTCCGGAGGGTATTAGGGACCATGGTAAACATTTCTGCAATTTTTATTTTTGAGCGGAAAAAAAAACAAAAATTTCAAAATTAAAGACTAATATCCACTCTTTTTGAGAAATTTTGGAGGTTAAGGGGCCCGGTGTAGAAAAGTATTAATATTTTAGGGGATACATCTTGGGGTCATATAATGTCGTTTGGAACCATATATGATCATTATATGTTGTCATAAATGTTCGTAGTAGGCTTGAGTTAATAAAATCCGTGCAAGTTGTAAATCGGTAATCAAATTGGCCGTTTAAAGGCATATTGAATGGTTCCACCAACCCAATTGGACTCCCGGAGGGTATTTGGTACCGAGAAAAACATTTCGGCAATTTTTATTTTCGGGCGAAAAAAAAGTAAAAAATTCCAAAATTGAAGACTAATATCCACGCTTTTTGAGAAATTTTGGAGGTTTTGGGGCCTGGTGTCAAAAAGTCTTGAAATTTTTAGGGGATACATCTCTGGGTCATATAATGCTGTTTGGAACCATATATGATCATTATTTTTTTTGTCATAAATGTTCGTGGTAGGCTTCAGTTAATGAAATCGGTACAAGTTGTAAACCGGTGAATTGGTCGTTTAAAGGCAAATTGGATGATTCCACCCACCCAATGGGACTCCCGGACAGTATTAGGGATCATGGTAAACTGTAACACCCCCGATTTACTAACTAATAATAAATAAGAAATAAAGGAAAAATAGACAACCTTTAAATAAAATTGCGGAAGCATACACTTTAATCGGAGGTATTACCGCCACACTCAACAACCTGTCGAGTGTTAAGGCTTACAAAATCCCAATAATTACAACCCAATAAACTAGTTGAGCTATTTATACAACTTTATAAACTCATGACGTCACACTAATCGTAACACTTGAGCTCCTTTAGCTACGACCACTTGATCAACCTGGTTAGAAAATCTTGACTGCTCACCATTAAGGACAAATTCCAAAATAGATCGTCACAGGGCCACCATAAGAAAAAGACATGGCCGCAAACACAAGTAGCACAACAAAACAACACACACACGTCAGCAAAAAAGCTGAGTAATCACCACATATCAGAATACAGAGTATTATATAATAATTAACATTACTAGTTCAATTAAACAATGTAGCTCAAAATTACCTTACACATTGTAGTCTGAAAAAAAGTAACCTTTATCAACTCAACCTTGAATAATAATACGAACTTTTACTCAATTAACTCATATAAACCATAAGTGTCCCATGCTCTTTGTTTTATACCTAGCCTTGGACATGGGTAATTCGAATAAAACAAACAAGTATAAAAACTTGAATACTCCCAATAACTAGAAAACACCTTGAACCAGACCACATACGGGTCAATTCCCACTGTAGGGGACCATAGAAAAATAAATAAAAATAAAGATTGTACCTCATTCTTAACTCGTGATTATTACCCTCTAACCAACAAGCCAAAGACTAAGTTATATAACGCCGAGCCTCAACCCAAGAACAAAACAATAATTCTCAACCATTTGATCTCATACATCGATCAAATAACCATTCACATGATAATAAATAATATCTCAATATTGGCACAGGTTCCCAATTCATATATGACGACATATTCGGTTCATAAAATATCTCAACTCTTATAGAACTAATACTAGTACCCAAAATTAATCAAATCTCCACCCAAAAATAACACTCTGCATTAACAACCCTAAAACCTTGATAAAACAATGCTCCCTAGTCCCTATAACAACAACATTAAAACCCTAGAAATAATATAATCAATCAATGCGACAATTAAATCGTACAATACAACAACGAAGCACATATATATAAATTTTGATCATACAAATAACAAATCATAAAATTTACATATAATAATATGGAATACAAATAATACAAACAATAATATATAATCAAAGAACTCTAATAATTAAGGTTCGTGTGATTACCTTTCCACGAATTAAAATCACAATACGACATTCAACGCAAAGCAACCGAGCTACATACGGCCTTCGATACACAAATATATTGTGCAGCTTTAATTTCCAGAAGAAACAAGTTGATTTTGTTTTACAAATCTAAAGCAAGATAAGGAAAACGGCTTCTTTGATCTTTTTTTTTTTTTTTATATAAAATATCTTTTGAGGGTTAAGAATATTTATAGGGTTTTAAAACTTTCCGAACTCCAAATAAAAAATTGAGATTAGGAAAGTTATTTAATAAATTAAAATAACTATTTTTTCATAATACATAATGTATAAAATCACAAAATATTCGGGTATTACATAAACATTTCGGCAATTTTTATTTCCGGGTAAAAAAAAAGTCAAAAATTTCAAAATTGAAGGCCGGGTATGTGGTCCGGGTAAAATCCACGCTTTTTGAGAAATTTTGGAGGATTCGGGGTCTAGTGTCAAAAAGTCTTGAAATTCTAGGAAATACTTCTCGGGGTCATTTAATGCCGTTTAGAACCATATATGATCATTATTTGTTGTCATAAATGTTCGTGGTAAGCTTGAGTTAATAAAAATCGGTGCAAGTTATAAACCGGTAAATAGGCCGTTTAAAGACAAATTGCATGGTTTCACCCACCAAATTGGACTCCGGAAGGGTATTACAGACCATGGTAAACATTTCGACAATTATTATTTCTGGGCGAAATAAAGTCTTAAAATTCCAATATTAAAGGCTATTATCCACGTATTTTGAGAAATTTTGTAGGTTTCGAGGCCTGGTATCGAAAAGCCTTGAGATTCTAGGGAATACATCTCAGAGATAATGTCGTTTGAAACCATATATGATCATTATATGTTGTCATAGATGTTTGTGGTAGACTTGAGTTAAAGAATTCGGTGCAAGTTGTAAATCGGTAAATTGGCCGTTTAAAGGCAAATTGGATGGTTCCACCCACTCAATTGGACTCCCGTAGGAATTAGGGACCATGGTAAACATTTCGGCAATTTTTATTTTCGAGCAAAAAAAAAAATCAAAAAATTTCAAAATTAAAAGCTAATATCGACGCTTTTTGAGAAATGTTGGAAGTTTAGGGGCCCGGTGTAGAAAAGTATTAATATTGTAAGGGATACATCTCGGGGTCATATAATGCCGTTTGGAATCATATATGATCATTATATGTTGTCATAAATGTTCGTAGTAGGCTTGAGTAAATGAAATCCGTGCAAGTTTTAAACCGATAATTAAATTGGTTGTTTAAAGGCAAATTGGA